GCCCCGACTCACCGGAATGGACGGTGCAACCCTTTTCCTCCTCCTCTTCCTCCTCCTTCTGCTTGGCTCGGGGGGCGCTGGGAACCGTCCGCCCCCGACGGCTTCTCCGGGAGGGTCTGCCGGCGGCCTTTCCGGGGGGGAGGGGGTGGCGTCCTTCTTTTCCTCGCTGCCTAGGTGAGGATGGCAGCGGCGAGGGACGGCCAGGCGCACGGACCTCCGGAGGAGAGGGTTGGGCCGACGGCTCTGCCCCCCGCCTGGGGGTCGGACGCCACCGCGCCCCCCTCCCCGGGCAGCTGGGATGTCCCCGTGCCTCTGCCATGCGCCCCCTCCCCTCCCCGAGGGTGCCACCTGCCGCGACACCCGACACCGGGAACGCGCTGCTGGCTCAGCAAGGACCACCCCCCTCCGCCATCCTCCCCGTCTTCGTCCTCCGCCCCCTTCTCCCCACAGATCGCCACCGTCCCGCCTCCTTATCCTGGCCAGGAGATCCTCCAGGCTGCCCAGCAGAACTTGCAATTAGGGACATCCAGGAGTCCTGGCAGCATCCCTTGCGAGCACCGAGGGCTGGTACTTGGTAGTGGACCCCCCCCCACACTTCTTCAAGGAACCCAGGTGTCCTAGCGCCCCCGTCCCTCCGCACGCTCCCCATTAATTAATTAATTAATTAATTAAGGTAAAGGGACCCCTGACCATTAGGTCCAGTCGTGACAGACTCTGGGGTTGCAGCGCTCATCTCGCTTTACTGGCTGAGGTAGCCGGCATACAGCTTCCGGGTCATGTGGCCCGCATGACTAAGCTTCTGGCGAACCAGAGCAGCGCACGGAAACGCTGTTTACCTTCCCACCGGAGCAGTACCTATTTATCTACTTGCACTCTTACGTGCTTTCGAACTGCTAGGTTGGCAGGAGCAGGGACTGAGCAACGGGAGCTCACCCCATCGCGGGGATTCAAACCGCCAACCTTCTGATCAGCAAGTCCTAGGCTTTATTCCAAGGAGCTCAAGGTAGAATACAGCCCCCCCCCCTCATTTGATCCCCACACTAACAACCCTGTGAGGCAGGTTTAGGTTGAGAGGCAGTGACTGGCTCAAGGTCACCCCACCTGGTGAACTTCATGGCCCAGTGCGGATTTGGGCCGTGGTCTCCCAGGTCCTAGTCTGACACTCTAACCACTACACCGCACTGGCTCTCATCCCTAAGCACCATCCCCGCCCACCCTTTTTTCTCTTTCTCAAGGCACTCAAGAGTTCTTTCCACACAACACCCCTGGGTGTCATCTCACAGTCACTACCTCTTTTCCAAGAAACTCCGGAGTTCCCAGGAAACACATCTGCTGCTGAGGTTGGAACCCTCAGGTGCTGGGTGGGGGTGCATAGCTCTTTGGGCCTTTGCCTGGTCCATGGGACTTTCCCTAGACCATCCCCACTCCCTTGGTCTCAACCCCTCACTGCCCCTCCAATGCATCCTCCATAGCTGCTTTCGCCTGGCTGCAATGTGTCCTGGAACATTTCACCCCACACAAAAAATAAAAAATGCTGGGCATTGTAGTTTTATCCCTTGCAGAGTTAATTCCCAGCAACCCTTAACACACTACAGTGCCCAGAATTCTTTACGGGAGGGGATGTGCGTTGAATGTGCTTTCAAGGTAATAGTGTGCACACAGCCATAATGCATGTTGCTTGCCCAGATGAAGGAGCAGTATGTGGGCGGGTGCATAGAAACCTATGACTTTTTAAGGGGGAATCGTCCCTGTTGCAGAAAGCTTGCTCTATCCCATCTTTGTCTTTGGCTCCACCTGGAATGAGAAGGTGGCTTGCTCATGATTTTCCTAGGGAACCCAGGAATACTGACTTCTCTACGTATCCCTTAGCACAAGCATAGGGATTTTAGAAAAAGGTTTGCTTGGGATACCAAGTCAGATTAATCTGAAAGATTAGAAGTTTGGATGGCTTCCATACACACCATAAATGACTTCTCCCAAAAGAATAATGGCCACTGTGGTTCGTTCACAGTATTGGGAATTGTAGCTCGGGGGGAGAGAACTATGGTTCCCAGGATTTTTTCAGGGTGGGGAGCCATTTGCTTTAAATGTGCTTTAGATGTATGGATGGCTTTTTTGCTGACAGATAATCTGGCAGTGTACGGCCTGACCTTTTAATTATAGCAGTTGTGTGCTCAACACCGGAAAGGCATCTGGAGGCATCTGCATAAGCCATCTGCACTGCAGTGAGGGGTGTATACTTTGCACATGCACAGAGGCTGTCACTCCTTCCAACAGCAAACTCAGTGTTCCCAGGCAAAGTTAAATGGAGCTGAAACAGGGACACAGAGAAATAAGAGTGACAGTTGGAAAAGAGAAGCTGAAAACCAAGCAAGGAGGAAGATGGGTGAATTGTTGTGCTTGAGACCCTAGCAGCTTCTGCAGGAAGACATGGCTGGACAGAAACTCTTTGTGCATGTGCGGATACAGTGAATTTTTTTTGTGGGAGGTCCCACTTTTCTCTTTTTAAAGTTTCTCCAGAGGGTTCCAGACCTGAGCCCTCCTGGCTCTGAAAATAACCCCCTGGTTCTGTTTACAGGACAGGGAGCTGCCTTGCTAGAAACAGAATTGACCATCCTGTGAAATTCCTCCAGGTAGCCCTAAATGCAAACTGAGCAGACCTCTGTGTCGCTGCGCAGAGACTGGCGATCGAAACAGGGGTCCTCTCATCACTGAGCCCAGCACTGCAAAAGACCCAGAGTGACTGAGGTGGGCGCTCGCTGGGTCCCCTTTGCCCTTTCCCTGCGGCTGCTGTCGGGCCACAGAGAGCGTTTCTTCACACAACAGGTGTCACCTGTTGCCAGCCGTCAGGGGCCCGCGCTGGATTTCACTGACGCGGCGGATCAGGTTCTGACCAGGGTATTTAAAGTCAGACATGCTCCCTGTCCTGCCCCCCTGCTTTGGGCCCTGCCCCTTGGCACCACCCTTGGACCCACCTTCCTCTGGAGCCCAACCAGCTCTGGAGTTGGAGCGAAAGGTCATGCGTGTGTGCATGTGCGCGCACACACACACCAAGGGGAAAATGTGCAGATGTGTGCCCAAACTTCACTGTGGTTGGTATGTACAGGATGGGACGAGCATATGGGGGGGGTGAATGGATGATCAACACTGACCCCTCCTGGTTTTATGTGGAAAAGGACACCCTCATGGGGAATGCAAAAGCAGAGCTGGGAAAGTGAGTGAAGCAGACAGAGGGGACAACGGGGTATTGTGGCATACATGCACCCGTGTGCAAAAGGGAGAAATAAAAAAGTGTGTTTGCTATAATAGATTTCTACAGGACGCATAGCCATGTCTCAGAAAACATTTTGTATGAGCGTACGTTCAAATATCCAAGTGAAAAGGCATGCAGATAACGAAGAGCACACTCTGCTTTTCTCGTTAAGGATTAACACAAGCCCTGGCCCAGTTCTTTCTTCCTCCCTGTGCATTTTAATGAGAAACCTGGTGATTTACAGCCTTAGGTGCCCTTCAGGGCAACATAGGTGTATTCTTCCCCTTCTGGTGTCTGTAGGGCCATATGAATGACTCCTGCAAGCTGGAAATAGCAAGGAAGCAGATTTTGGCTGGATATTGGAGGCGCCTGGGAAGAGCTGTTTATCAGTGGTGCAGGCTGCCTCAGATGGCGGTGGGCTCTTCTTCAGCTGAGGTTTTGAAACAGAGACTGTTTTGAAACAGAGGCGGCTGTTCCTGTGAAGGCTTCCTTGGTTACATCATTCCCGGTGAATTGTGCATTAAGCAAAGATGATCTCTAAGAACCCTTGCAGCCCTTTCAGGATTTTATGCGTATCACATTCTGAGCGATACCCTCCAGCCTCCCCAAGGACCGGGCTGAATGTGTGCGCCAGTCTCCCAGTATTGCTGCATTTGGCAGTCGGACAGTACAGGGAAAGGGGCCTCATGATTCAGAGCTGAAACACCCTATGTATGTCTGCTGAATTGGCTGCTCTTTCCCTTGCCCTTCTCTCCACGCCGGCCACTGCCGCGTCTCAGGTGAATGGCTCTGGATTCTTACACCTTGGCTGTGATATCCTCGGATCACTCCAAAACCAGACCCTGGTACGATTCCTTTGCTGGGAGCTGCATATGGTGTGGGTGGCTGGCTGGGTGGACGGGGTGAGCTCATAGGTCTTTCCCAGGCTCAGATTTCAGAGATTAATTCTAGGAGCAGCCGTGGACCTGACGCCACCGACAAAGATAGCACTTGTGGCCTGGGACAATGGGAAAGAGGCACGTCCCAAAGACAGCGAGGCCTGTGTGGAGAAGACACCAGAGAACATCTCTTCTCCCACTCCCTACAACCTAGTGTTTCACATGCAGACACACACACACACACACACACAATTAAAACCAAACAAATATATGCCTACAAGGAGTCCTGTAACCAAGACACTCTCCTCCTTGCACTCCTAATATCCTCCCGTCCTGCAACACTCTGCAACTCCCCATTTATGCGTGTTCAAGGCACATGTGATTGTGCATACGTCCATTGTCTCCCGAGACAGATGGATGTCAACTGGATTTTTTTTATGGGAGCTTCCCATCACATCAAAATATCTGTCCAATGTTTTTGTCACAAGTTAATAATTTTATTGCATTGGAGGAAAAAGCACTACATAGCTTTTGCTATAAACAATATATGCTTTTCACGGGGCCGAAAAGTAACAGCGAAGTTTGGGTCAGGGAGAAGCTTTGATCTCTCAGAGAAGTTTCCGGGCTTCTGGTCCTTGAGATCAGTGTCTGCCGCCAGGTTCCGGCAGTGGGTACGAGGCTGCAACTGAAAGCCTGAGATGTCACAATGACCTTTGACCTTCAGGACAATCCTGTATTCAGACAAGCAATAACTGGTTCGGATGATTCCACCCTTCCGAAATCAGTTTGGGGTTTCCGTCTGTCCACTGGCAAGGGTTTCCAGGGGTTCAGGAGCCATTTGATCATTGTGGTGGTGTGTGCCCTGCTTCTCATTGGCTGGGATCCAGCCCGTACACTGCCCTTTGGTTGGCTGGAAGAGATTCGCGCTCCAGCTCCCAGAGGAAACGTCGCAGGCGTATGAGTTGGCGATGGAGGGTGTCGTCTGACACAGGCTCTGAGAGGCGCAAGCGGAAACCATCACATGGAAGGATCAGGGGAGGGTGGTCTGTGAAACTCTCAAATATGTCACCTGTGGGAAGACAAGGCATTTCAAAACAACAGGTGTGCTCAAGCTGCTCTCGAGGCTGCTGCACCCAGAGGATTAGCTGGAAATTTCAGTGCCCTGCGTAGATTTAAAAATGTGAGGCCCACCCGGTCTGTCTCACACCCGTCTCCCCGCTCCCAGCTGCTCCCTGGGCAACTGCACCAGTAGCTCTACTCTAAATGACACATGGATCACACCCTCTGGATAAGAGGTAGGGACAGAAATTGCTGCAGTTTGTGTGACCGTTTGTGGTCAGGTGTGGAAATCAGGCAAGCAAATCGGAGAAGCATTTGTTCTTGTCTTTTTAGTCCGCAGATGATACGTAATTAATGACGTGCCCCCTTCCCCCGGGCTTTCTGGTGTTTCCTTTGCACTGAAATGCTGTGGAATTGTATATTAATTATGTCATTAAAATGAAGGACATTAAATTTGGCCATAACAGACAGAGATGAAAAACATATTTTTTTGGCAGAAGCTGAACTGCAGCAGAAACAAAACAGTGCTGCTTGTCACAGATACCAGTCCAAACAAAAATAGCACTGCCTTCATACATTCCTGGTAAGAGACGATAGGAGAAACTGCTAACAACATGAGATGTAAAATGCTTTCACATTCCAATTTCCACATTTTGAGGGCAGAGAGAGGGATAGCAGGGGATGGGCGTTTGGTGTAGGATGTGGCAGGTCCCCAACGTGAAGTTAATGCAATGATGGGGAAAGCTTCACTTGCTGAATTTCTGCCTGATGAGGGCACAGAAATCCTGCCAGAGGTGGTGAGAGCTGAGCCCTGTGTGGGTCAAAAACAAAGCATCTCCTTGACTTACTGTGTGCAATCTCATCTCTTTCCTTTTCAGGTGGGCTCCAGCATTCAGGAGACACTCGCCCAGGTCCCAGCTGGTAATTTGTGAGCACATGATGGAGCTGAGCCGGGGTCAGTGCCGGATAGTCATTTCTCAGGCGAGACCAGGATGTCTGTGTGCAGCAGGGAAAAGAGAGGTTAGCAATAAACCCTGGAAGAAAAAGACCCATGAAACACCCATTCTTCCTTAGTGGCTGCCATGACTGGCTAGCTCTTTCTCTATGCCAACCGCAGCATTTGCCTTAATAGGGGCAGAAACTAGACTTGATAAATCATGTGATAATTGACATATTAAAAGAATAACATTTCCTTATGAATGAAAAAATAGCCCTGAAAGAAGAAAGAAACTTCCTTTGTATAGCCTTGCTGCATAGCAGGCGTCATCTTAGGAGAGGCATGCCTTCTTATGTGGGGGGGGGGAGCAGGGTTTTTTTTCAGCCGGAACTTCCCAGAACTCAGTTCTGCACCTCTCAGGTGGGCACCATAGCCATTCTAAGAGAAAGAAGGAGGTGTTCATGGTGAGTTCTGGCAACCTTTTTTCTAGAAAAACAGCACTGGGCAGGAGGATGCCTCTTGTAAGATGGCAGCTGCCACCTGCAGTTTTGACAAGCACACACATTTTTAAAGAAAAATTAAGATGTTGGCTGCTTAACGAGAAAAGCCTTCCCTTTCTCAGTCAAGAGATTTTAATTAAATTGATCTAAGCAGTTCATTGGCAAAACGCTTTCCAAGTTTTAGCAGGAAGATACAGAAAGGCCACTTCATTGACACTATGCCTAGCTATAAGACACAACCGTTCACCCTATAGCTTTTACCCCTGTGACAGTGTGCCCCAAGCAGATACAGGGTAGGAAGGCGCTTACAGAGCCAATGAATCTAGATCGGCTCATACAAATATGAATACTATTCTGCAACAAGATATGTGGGATTCTGCAACTTGCATATTTTACGCAAATTAGTATATTTGCATGTTGTTAAGGGTGGGTTTTTTACATGAAGTATTTGACCTCTGTCAGATATAAGGAGGCATCAGCAGCAGGGCTGGCAACATAGCCAACACATTTGTACAAATGTCATGCTTCTGAGATGACTGCATCTTTTTCCATAGGGACTAGATTTTTTTTTTTAAGGGAAACTGAGAACCTCAAGGTACTGTTTTCTGAGCCCAACAGGAACACCTGCACTGGTGTGGACTTGCAGAAACCTGCACCTGTGTCAATTAAATCAGGCTTCCTTATTCCTACACAAAGCAAGGAGGGTGGGTGCTTCAAAATGTTGTTCACTTTTAATAGTCTCTCCAGCACACTCTCCTCTTAAAGAAACAGACCATAAAAGAGGAAAGGGGGAGAAATGAAGCTTCCCTCCTCTGTGCCTTCAGCCACCTGTTCCCAGATAAAGACGGTGACACCTAGTATTTGTGGTATGTGTGTGATTCTGATGCCCAAGAGTTGAGCCGCTGCCACCCTAACCCTCAAGCCCCAAGAAGGGGGAACAATCACCTGAAGCAAGCTGGTTTTGGGCACACACAGTAAGTTGGCCGTGGTGCTGAGCTTGCGGAAGAATTCCGTTGCAATGTCCCCCAGGCCCACCCCTTGTAGCCAGTCCAGCACCAGGTCCAGGTTGGTTCGGATCTGCACCGCCTTGGCCCACTGGAATAAGGACTGGTGGGAACTGCCTGGAAAAAGGGGAAAGCATGTTAAGAACATAGAGCCTGGCCTGGGTGATCGTCCACCTTCCTCGGCAAACCGTCTTGGGATCCCCCTGCCCATCCCCCTCTGTTCTGCAAATGCTGAATGAGGGAGCCACCGCCCCAAGCCAGCCTGCTTGTTTCCTGTCCTGCTTGGGGGCAGCCCTGAACTCTGGGACAGGCAGGAAACAGCCTGTTTCCACCAGAGACCAGGACAGAAAATAGGAGGAAACAGGAGAGGGAGGGGGGAGGGTTGTGAGGGGATTTGTTCTTCTCACTAGTCAGGGGCTTCAGGCATTCTCCCTGGGCATTTTTGCAATATGAATAGTGAAACCTCTCCTGTTTGGAATGCTCACTCAAAAAAAGAAATAAGAAAGCTGTCTCTCCTACTTCTTTTGCTTTCTCAAAATGGAACTTACAAGTGATTTATGCCTCACTGTGAAAACATTCTCAGATCCAGCACATATTATAACTCACTGCCTTGATCCCCACACACCCTGTGTCTCACTGGATTGTTCTTCCTTCTCAGAAGACCCAGGAGTCCTAGTCTGTCTCACACTATCACTATTATTCCATCTGGCTCCTCCACACACTCAAGAATCGCTTTCATACAACCTGTTTCACAGTGCATTCATCCTGATCTATGTGCAGGGAAGCTGTGAGACAACGTGAGGCTAGGCGGCATTAAGGCACAAGATGAGCCTGCTGGATCAGACCAACAGACCCGTCTAGTCCAGCATCCTTTTCTCACAGTGGCCAACCAGATGCCCGTAGTAAACCCACAAGCATGACCCGTGCAAATGGGAGCGATGGGAGGGCATCCTCTAGCGCCCTGCTCATTCACAAAATGGGCTTTCTTCTAGTTCCCACCCTGAGAAGCAAGGAGCTCATTCTAGGCTCACCTCTCTCCATGAGAGTGTTAAAGAGCGAGGCATTGGAGAAGAAAAAGAGATATCCAAAGGTCTGCGAGACAAGGTCAGGGTGCAGGTCACAGTCACGGGTCAACTCCAGCGTGGCCTGGTAGATGGCAAGGGTCCCCTGGATTCCTTCTGGCATGCTGCTGAGCTCCGGCACGTGGGACAGGTCAGCTGTGGCCGTGAAGGGGTTACTGTCTAGCAAGGCAGGAAGAGCCGAGTAGAGAGTCTGCTGGGTGAGGAAAGGGATGAGAAACACAGGATACTACAAAGGGTGGGTGGGAAGAGAAGGGGAGGGGGGGCTTGATCGTCAAAAGTTTGCTCACCCACCTTAGTGAGGTAGTACACAGACTGCTGAAATGTGGACATGATGACTTCGTCCAAGACCGCCATTGCCTCATCACAGGTCTCCAGGTCACTGGAGAGCAATGCATTGTGGGAAGCTCCTGCAGAGATGGGGGGAGAGAGCGAGTCTCAGGGTGTAGCTACATCACAGGAAAGCAAACTGGTTGCCCACTCATTTGCTCTCCGATGGGAACTGTAGCGCTGTAGTGCATTTTTACTGCAGATTTCTCAGCATCCTCCTCAAACTGTAATTCCCAGGATTCTCTGGGGGAGGCCTTGGTAAACTGGCATAATGCCTTATTCATCTGGTAACAGTTGTGTGTAGAGTCTCTTGAGAGTTCTGTGATATGTCCCTCACATAAGGCTCCACCACAAAGCTTATGCAGAGGTTGGGTTATGTCCTGTCTTTATTGAACATTTGTTTTGATTGGTTTGTGGGGAGATTTTGTGACAATGAGCATCCATCCTGATTTGTTTGTGGGGTGTTTCCACGTGTTCCCAGTGATTATTTGTTCCTCCTGATACTTTTTAATGCATTTCCCTGTTTTCTGTTTAATGCATTTCCCCTGATTTTCTGTTATGTGCTTGAATCTCTCCTGCAAAATACTGACCGTCTGGAGGCACCGGCAGAAACCATAAGCTCCCTTGCTATTTGAACCCTTCCCCTTTCTGGAAAACCCAAACAGCCCTCATTCATCAAGTTCTGACCCTCAGGGTCTTCCTTTATCTTTCTCTTCTTGGCCCTCTGTTCTGATGTATGTCCTAGACCCTGGTATCCTGACCAACAGCTACCCTTCCACTCTCCTCTGACCCCAGGGAATGTTCAGGATTCTTGGCTCACCCTCCAAGTCCAGGTCCTTCTCAATGTCCAGGACTCTTTTCTGCACGAGGCTGAGCAGCTCCATCGCGTTGGCCATCCAGAGCATCAGGGGGCGCAAGTCGGCAGCCACTTCCTCGATGCTGAGATTTCCCAATTCTCCTTTGTCCTGCTGGCTGCAGGGATCAGACAGTGCAAGGGGGATTAGCGCACTGCCGAATGACAGGAGGGTGCTCTCACCTGCTGCCCAGAGGCAGCTGACTCTTGGCTGGGGCATTAAAACAACAGCTGGGCTGACTACTTGGAATTCAATCCATTCCACAAATTTTCAGAGTTCACTCCGAGTTCAGGATTTCTTGACATATGTGAACTTTGCTTCCAAGGGACTTAGGTCTTCATTACTTGTGGATTTGCCTTCCACATTTGCAATGTTGCTATTGTGCTGGCTATATTATTAAGGAGGACTTACTAATATGTTGTCACCTATGGACCTTTCTGGATGCATTACAGTTGTTACTCATTTCTGCAGTGAGCTCAAATTGCCTTCCCACAAGTGATCTACCGCAATGGAGATGTTGCATTTTCACAGCACCCTTGACTGAACTATCTTTTTTGCATCACAGAAAATGCAGTTTGTCCCCAATTACAGTGTGCTTCTTCCTCTCCAGCAGTGGAGCATACATGTGCCGTTTGTTTGTTTGTTTGTTTGTTTGTTTGTTTGTTTTAATGGTGAAAATAATACTGATATTCTCCTTCAGAAAATCTGCCTCTTCCTGCCACCCCATATCAGTTATGTTCCCTCCCCCATCAAGTTATCATGCTATTGATTTTGAAATGGTATTTGCAGAAAGATCTATCACACAAAGGCCAAAATTAAAGTCTTTTCATAGAAGTGGATGGAAGGAGCTGACACATGCAAATATATTGGGAGGTAGTAACTTATACAAGAGTGGGAAGTGTTAAAGCTTCAGGAGGCTGGAAGGAACTAAACCAAGGAAGGGGGAGCCTGTGGCCTCCTAGATCAGAGTCCTTCAGCCTGGATCCCTGGATGTTGTCAGGCTACAACTCCAATCATCTTGTCAGCTTAGTTTAGGCAATTGCCACCTTAGCCTTAAGCAATTGTCAGGGATGATAAGAGCTGTAGTCTCACAACATCTGGGGGCCCAGGGTTGAACAGCACTGTTCTAGATGTTGTTTGGACTCCAAATCCCCAGCTTGCAAGGCCACTCATCAGGGACAATGGGAGCATCTTGTTCAGTTCCCTCATCCCTGAACTAAACAATACAAGGATGTCTTCACCTGCAAGATAATTTGTCATGCATCACACAATATTTCTTCAGTTGCTAGTCACCTAACTGATATTTGTCTCTTTATGTCAAAAGTAACTTATTCGCTAGACCACTACATCAGACTGCATTCAGACATGGCAACTTCAAGAATTCATCCTAGGAAACAATTTAACAGTTTGACAAAAACTAAGATAAACTGCTTAGATTCTAAGTATAGCACCTCCCAAACATCTTGTGAGATGTGGAACAGCACCTTCCAGAAGCCAAATATGAGACATACTTTAGCTCTTACTTACTTTTCCGGCTGTCTATCTCCAATCTCTTTTATCTTCTCCTGGGAAGAAGGATATGAAAAAATAAAATGAATTATGGAGGTTTGGAACCCAACACAGAATAGCCTCGAGCCCTTTCCATGCCTGAAAGCCAAAGGGAAAGAAGTCCATGGAAAACAGGTACTGAAGGAACTGATGGGGAAAATCTATTTCCTTTCATTACATTTACAACTTCCTCTTAGGAACTCAGTGTTTCCTACATGCTCTCTCATACCAGCTCCAATTCTGCTTAGCTAGAACTGCTTTAGTTGCCTTCAGGGAGAGCTTAAGGGCCAGAAGGATGCATGTTTTTACCTATAACCGTAAGAACCAGCTTCTCGCTGCCACCGAAATGCTCCAAATGCTAGATTCCTTCCATGCCATGCCTGAATATCAACTCCATCTTAATAGCTACATACACAGACCTACATAAAGGGCTTCAGAACTGGATATGGAGGTGGAGGGAATACAAGGGAAGGACATCAAAGTGACACAAAGGTCATGAACCGAACTGCGAGTCACTTACCCAAACAGCCTCCTTGACCAGCTGAGCGATTCTAGCTATCAACCTGGGGAGGTGTCCTGGTTCCAGCTCCCGGGCAGCGTGTTCCAGGCAGAGCCCAAAGAGGAAGGCAGGGCCCAACCTGCAGTTTGGCGCCTCCTGCAGCCTCACAATCTCAGCCAAAAGGGCCTCCTGCTCCTGGGGCCGGTAGCGCAGCTGAGGTTCTCGGCTCTTGAGGTAGGCCCGGAAAGCTTCCTGCCGCTCCTGCAGGGAACGGCCGCAGGCCTGGCACGCCAAGGCCCCCACCAACCCTGGGGACACCCAGGCCTTGGGCAGCCAGGCCGGAGGCGCAGCTGCAGCTCGCGGGTCCTTGTACATGAAGAGGAAGTGCTGCCCCATTCCCAGCAAGTCTCCGGGAGCCAGCTCCACCTGGCGATGGAGTGGGGCGCCGTTGTGGGTTATCAACGCTCCCCGGAAGGGCCGCACCATGGCCGAGCCCCGGGGCTGGCTGGGGTCTGCGGGGGGCACCGAAGACACAACACAGCAGTGGCGCGGGAGGATGTCTGGGGCGCTCAGGAACGTGTCCACATAGTTGGATTGGTCCGGAGCCGGGCAGCGCTCAGGGCGGCCGAAAATGTGTCGGCGGCGTGTCATCACGTGGATTACAAACTCCTGTTGGTGAAAGAGAGAGAAGGGAATAGAGCAACACAGGAAGAAAATAGGAGTATAGCATCTAGATCAAGGGAAGTAATAGTGCCACTGTATTCTGCTCTGGTCAGACCTCACCTGGAGTACTGTGTCCAGTTCTGGGCACCACAGTTCAAGAAGGACACTGACAAACTGGAACGTGTCCAGAGGAGGGCAACCAAAATGGTCAAAGGCCTGGAAACGATGCCTTATGAGGAACGGCTAAGGGAGCTGGAGAAGAGGAGGTTAAGGGGTGATATGATAGCCATGTTCAAATATATAAAAGGATGTCATATAGAAGAGGGAGAAAGGTTGTTTTCTGCTGCTCCAGACAAGCGGACACGGAGCAATGGATCCAAACTACAAGAAAGAAGATTCCACCTAAACATTAGGAAGAACTTCCTGACAGTAAGAGCTGTTCGACAGTGGAATTTGCTGCCAAGGAGTGTGGTGGAGTCTCCTTCTTTGGAGGTCTTTAAGCAGAGGCTTGACAACCATATGTCAGGAGTGCTCTGATTGTGTTTCCTGCTTGGCAGGGGGTTGGACTTGATGGCCCTTGTGGTCTATTCCAACTCTATGATTCTATGAAAAGATCAGCCACAGCGGTTGTCATCCTGCTAGTGGCCCTGAGCTACCCTGAGCGCATGTGTTGGGCCAGTGGGGCACTTGGTCGAAACATTGGCCTTTTAGGCCAGGGGTGGGAAACCTTTTCAGTCCCTTCCTTAAGGGTGGGCCCACACCAGTGGTGGGTGGAGCCAGAGGCAAAAGGGATGGAGCAACAGATGCAACAGAAACAAATAAAGATGAGGCTTTGGAGAGGTAAGAGATCCTCTGGGTGCTCAAATAGTCACAGGTCAGCTGTAGTGTGGCTGATGCAACAACTAAAAGTTCCACTGTGGGCTCATTCACACTTCTTTTTAAACACAGGTCTGGGATTTCCAGGTCTGTGCCTAAGCAGGTTTTATTTTGCCGCACAGCTTTCCCCAGAATAACCTGCGTTTTACCACTGAATCTGCAGAAATCCCAGTTCTGTGCCTAGAAACTCAGCACAAAAGGAAGTGTGGATGAGCCCTAAGTCACCACAACAGAGGTTTTTATACTGGCGGCTCAACTGTGGATCACTAGGAAGAAGAAGGCATCCCACCCACCCCCACGTAAATGTATGGGAAATCTTGCTCCCTTTCTTCTAAGAGGTTGCCTGAACTAAGCTTGAAGAAATTCAGTGGATCATCTTAACTTCACTCAGGCTTGGGTTACACCTGTTTGCCTTTCCCTGTGGCCTGACACTGAAGTGTCCTGCTTGGGTCATTCATTCCTGTTTGCTCCACAGGCCTCCAGGTGGACACATCTGTTAATTTCAGTTTATCCCAGTTTCTTTTATTTCTTTCTTTTTGCATTCTTAAGTTCAGCTCTACACATTTCTGCAATAGTTTGTGGTTTTTTAAAAAAACCTTCACAAAAATTGTCAATATTTGAGTGCACGTTTCTCCTTATATGCACAGTTTCCATACGCAATTTCCTGTGAGATACATCATTTCACCAGAATTTTTGGCAAATATAATGCATTTTTATTTTTATTCATTTATTACTAATACACACTTTTTTAATACTTTCTTTATAGACACATGCTTGGACACATTATTTAGCTAAAGAACTGCATCACAAAATTCAGACAAGTTCAAATTTTGAAGGACAGCTGTGTTTCAGTTTACACGTGGTTTCAGAAAGTGTGAATCTGTTAAGTCTGCATTCAGATCCAAAGTGGATTGAATTTCTCCCTTACCCCTAAGCAGATCCCTCTTTATTTAATTCTGCTCTCTTTTCCTGACAACATGGGATAATAGAGAGGGCAAGAGTGGCTGACAGGGGTGGGGGTGAGGGCAACCAACCTTCCTTCAGCAGAAGTTTCTAGTATTTTCCAACTCCATGTTAACATGGACCCCGAAGGACCCTGAACCCCACAGTCACTCAGCTTTATCAAAACCATAGAGTTGGAAAAGATTAGAGCTGCCCCAATCTTCCAAGCAGGAAAGTGGACCTACCTGCTTTTCATTGTAGCCCAGCAACTGTAGGAAATAGGGGTGCTCTGTTGGTGGTTGTATGAGGCACTGGGAGAGCTGCTCCAAGTTGGCCACATCCATGGCCTCTGCTTCAGATGCTGGAGGAGTCGATGTGCCCTCGGCCCCCTCTGCTGCCTTCAGTCGTGACTCCTCAGCCGCTTCCTGTGGTTCCCCAACCGCCATGCTCAGCACTCCTTTGCGGTCCCTGCGGCGTTTTGTGCTGAGATTCATCTCGCTGATGCTGCGACGGAGGGAAAGGTTGTCCGCCCTCTCTTTGGGGGCCACATGGCCTCCTGAGGCGGCCCGAGAGCGGCGAGATTGCTGCCGACGGGCCTGGGAGATACCTAGAAGAGGCAGGGAGAGAAGGCAGACAGACAAATCTAATCTATGTGAACAGTCATGGAAAATAAAAGCAATACCCTTACCTATGTTGGTTTCTGTTTCCCTCACTGAGCAGCTGCTGGTAGTCACAGGACTATGTTTTCATTCCACAGTCCAGATAACAACCTAACCTATATATTTTGAAAATTCTCCCAATTTGGGGGCCCATGGAAGGGAAGGAGTACTGGGAAATATCCAAGCAGTTTGGGGAGGAAATAATTTTGTCGCACTTCCCCTTTGATATCTTTGTATACAAGGGGTTGGAATTCTGTCTCCCATTCAATTAGTTAAGGACTTTTGCTCCATTTACATGTATGGAATGTGTGAAAGGGGACCACATTAGTCTGTAGCCCCTGGAATTCGGTTTCCCCTTGCAGCTGCCTGTGTGCCCGCATTCCAATATAAAGAAAATTGTTCTTGTAAAAAATGTAATGTGTGAGTACTTAGGAATCCAATGTATGTTTGTTTATTGGAAAATCATAAATAAAACTTAAAGAGAGAGAGAGAGAGCACTGTTACTTAGCCCCCAGTATCTGGTACTCAGAGAGGTATACTGCCCTTGAATATACTTTCAGCTCTCAGCACTAATGGCCATTAAACAATCTGTCCTCCGTGCATTGGCCTCAGCCTTTTTAGAAGCCAATTAAACTAAAGATCATCACCACATCATATTGTGGCAAAACAAATTCCACATGCTAATTAAGCACTTGACAATGAAGTTGATTAGCCTCTTTGCAGCAGCAAAGCTTTTTGACCTCTTCCTGACAAATCATAAGTTCTAGAAACCTAACTGGATGGTAAATGAAATGAATGAAAGACAAGCTTCTAAAGAACTTGAAAACACCATGAAACCCTAGAGCAGAATTGAGACCTAGGACCCAGAAGAGCATCTACTGACAGTCCCCTGGAAGCCTCACCCACTGCCAGCAACCCCACACATACCAGACCCATCGCCATCTTCGCCTTCTGCCATCCTCTCCACATCACATCGTCGGCGGATCTCAAAACGGCGTGTGCAGCCGGTCTTGGGTTTCCACACATCCTGCAGCACGAGCGGGCGTTCAGAATCGCCTACTGCACGGAGATACTGGGCCTGCCAGGAGCCATCTGTGCCATGGACATTGCCAACCACGTCACATAAGACATACGCATCTTCGGCATTAGCCTGCGCCACGCCGTAGCGCTCAAGCGCTTCCTGCACCAGCTGCCGGGCAGTGGAGCGCGCTGTGGCCAGCACACTCTTGTAGTTGGCACCTGTGGAGATGTCGCCTCCGTAGATTTTCAGGATCCCTGGCACTTCTCCCTGCGAGGCAGGCTCAACTCGATCTTCGGGCAGTGGATCAATGAGATCAGCCAGTTTCTTCTCACTGGCCCAGCGACCTCTTCCTCCGCTGGTGGGCACGCCAGTCCCACCCCGCTGGAAGAGGGCTGAAATCCTCTTATGTCGACTGGCCTTATTCTTGGTGGCCGGGCGCATCTCCACAGGCTCACTTCCACGGCTGGCTGTATCCGAGGATGTCGATCTGTGAGGAGGATAGTAAAGGTAAAGGGACCCCTGACCATTAGGTCCAGTCGTGATCAACTCTGGGGTTGTGGCACTCATCTCGCTTTATTGGCCGAGGGAGCCGGCGTACAGCTTCCGGGTCATGTGGCCAGCATGACTAAGCCACTTCTGGCGAACCAGAGCAGCGCACGGAAACGCCGTTTACCTTCCCGCCGGAGTGGTACCTATTTATCTACTTGCACTTTGACATGCTTTTGAACTAGGTTGGCAGGAGCAGGGACTGAGCAACGGGAGCTCACCCCGTCGCAGGGATTCGAACCGCCGACCTTCTGATCGGCAAGTCCTAGGCTCTGTGGTGTAACCCACAGCGCCACCCGGATCCCTTTGTGAGGAGGATAGACAGACTCAAAGAGACAGCAAGGGTGGCACCACAATGACAGGATGATGCAGCGGCCAAGCTGCTGGGTTCAGAGGTAAAAGATCTACCATAACAAACTTGCTCTGCCTCAAAGCTTGTTGGGCAAGTCCTAAGAATATAAGAGGAGCCTGCTGGATCAAACCAACGGGCCAAAGTCCAGCATCCTGTTCTCACAGTAGCCACCCAGACACCTATGAGAAACCCCAAAGCAGGCCCCAAGTACAAGAGCATTCTCCCCTCCACCCCCTTGGTTTCCAGCAAAGCCATCTCTCCCCTTAAACAAGTCACCATCTCTCTGGCACATAGTCAGAAATTTTATGGACAAGCAGCCTTGGAGGACGGCAGGAAAGTTTCACAGGGATAAGGTGAGTTAAATTATGATGTAACCTGCTCAAGTAGAATCATAAATAGTGATGGGCCCAAATGCCCTCCCCAACTGTGTCACTGCAAGGCTAGGAGGGAATATTTCAGTCATTTGGCAAAAAGGAGCCAAGTATAGGGCAAACTTACTAGAGGCTTAGTACTCCAGGTTACTGGTACATGCCTCCCCCCCCCCATTTATTCACCAGCTTCATGATGACATCATGTATTAGTTGTCATCATGAAGCCAAATAAGAGTGAGGGCAATTCTTCCTGCCCTCACTCTGGAGTTTGGTGGGTTAATGAAAAATGGTGCCCACCAGCAGCTGAAATTCCTGGAAGTGTGATCACTGCTGCTGCCAAGATCAGGAAATGACTGGTGCCAAAACAAAGGTGAAAGGGGACAATTTAGCAATACTTAGGGTTGCCATATTTTAAAAAGTTAAATTCCTGACACACCCGCAAACTTGTTGAGCTTTTTTTTAAGAAACCCACCAAAATTGATTTTAAGCTTTTTGAGCTATTTCTACTCCTGCCATACATACGATTCGGCAAAATTCCCCCGACGGTACTTTTACATCTGAAAACCAGGACATGTCAGGAATTTTCCTGACGTAAGGCAAGCCTAGCAATACTTTTCTTCGCTTCTAAGTAAAAAAGTTATGAGAAGTTCTTGTTCAATTGCAAATTAGTTTTTGTCTGTTTTGCTCATTTTACCCCAAGCCCCGGAGAATGTTCGTTCATCGCAGTCCCCATTTCATTAGCAGAGATCACACATTTGTGTTCTGCTGTGTGCTTTGCCTCCTAAAATATTCCATACGATTTCTGAATGGATTAACTTTGAATTAATTCCCCACCCCACTGTACTGTAGCCCTGGCAACCCCACCCCATAGTGGTGGTTCAGAGCACATGATGCTTCCCTGAATGCTGCATAACTAGGCAAAGGCTACAGTGCATGTACACAGCTTAGTCTGAGGTGAGAGCCAGTGGTAGCATGGAATGCACAGCTGCTCATTGCCAATTACTGCTAGGGATTGCAATTATGCAAATAGATGTGAGAACCGGAATGGTGTGATGTCAGAAAGGCACGGAAGTCCACATACACAGACCACCCTGCTATAGTTTTCTTCTCTGTAATTCCTGAGAGGTGATTTCTCATGGATGGACCAGTCCCAGGGCTGTGAATCTTCTTAACAGTTGCACTATTTCATGGTGCCTTTTTTGCCTGAATGAGTAAGTGTTTTAGGCAGACCGACAAGCAACAGAACGGCCTATGTACTAACAGTGAACTCATTCTCCGAGTACCTATTCATATGTAGCCAAAATGGCACCATCCGTGTTGGAGGAGGAGGAGGCATCAGCAGGCTTGTGGAATCTTTAAGGTTTGCAAAAATACAAAGAAATCTTAATTGAATAAACCCTAAAGAGAGGGGGACAGGGACAGGGGAGCAAAACAACAAGGTCCGTTATCAGTTTAGCTGGGCCCCACAAGGCAGTCACTTACTTGACAGACCCCACACTAGGCCACCTGCGTCCCAGCTTGGCAAAATGTTTCTTTGGGGAGTTGATCCAAAGGCCAACAGGAAAGTGAAGCTTCCCAAAGCGGGGGCTCCCGTCTTTCCGCTCATCCGAGAACATGGTCACAGGGACCTAGAGTCTTTGACAGGTGAATATGTGGGTGGGGGTGGGAGAGAAAGGCATAAGATAAACAGACCTGTGCATCCTGTCCATCTACATTTGTCACAAGAAACATGTGAATATTTCAGCTTTAATTGATTGTATTTTCTTTAAAAACACAGAGACAACCCCAAACAGCATGCTTCTTCTAGGCTTTATTTCCAAGTGCCCTGAATCTGGGGAGAGGAAAACAAAATTTCTATGCACCACCACTGAGCCAAAGGAGGAGATGACAGCATGGCCCACCAGAGATCTGCAATATGGAATTTCAACTGGCCAGAGCAGATCACATGATAAGGTCCAACACCTATAAAAGCTTCCAGTCAGGTTGGTTCTTTGGTTTGAGCAACAAGCTTGGTGGTGTCCTGTGCCACAGACTTCCTCTTTCTCTACCTTTCTCTTACCTGGCCACACCAAGCCTTGTTTTGACTTGGTCCCTGGATATCATTAAGGCATCCCAGGCCATATTGTAGAATCCTAGAATTGTAGAGTTGGAAGGGACCACAAGGGTCATCTAGTCCAACCCCCTGCAATGCAGGAATGTTTTGCCCAATGTTGGACGCAAACCCAAAACTCTGGGATTAAAAGTCTCATGCTCTACCAACTGAACTATTTTTGAGGAGAGAGAGCCTAAGGAGACAGGGAATAGTTTTAGAGCAGCCAAAATTTAAACACGGTTAGCCTAAAATTATGTAAGGGTGGAATCTGACCCCAGGCCAATGGAACCTTGGGGCCAGGGGTTTGGACTGCCCCGGGTGCCCTCACTGAGGAGGGTGACATTCGGCATGCCACCTGCCCGCAATTCCCAAGCCTACCCTGAGCCATCAGGGTAAGGGGGAAGCTGTGCCGCTTTGCCGGCAGCATTCCCCAATTCCCCCTTCGTTTTAACAGCTTGGGGGTGGCCTGGGAGTCGCGGACGGGCAGTGCGCCGAATGTATGCCATGGGCAGATCACTTCACCCTGGCTGCAGGGCACTTGCAGGGAGCGCGGCCACCCTGGGCAGCGCAGGCATATGCTCCGCCACTGCTTGGGGCCACTGCCACATTAACAGCCCTGTAGTTCATGTCAGCTGAGGCAGAAGGTGGGGAGAAGGCAAGGAGAGAGGACCTTGCTTCCCAAGCAAGGCGGAGAGGTTTAAAAGCTATTTTTGCATTGAGTTTTCCCAGTGTAAGAAGAGGTTTTAAGATTTCCACCTTGCTTGCATTTAATTTGTGGGATTTCAGCTAGTGGCCTTCAACTGTATATGCTTGGAATCGTGCAAGTTAAATGCACTTAAGATGCAATCATACTGTATAATTTTCTTTTCTTTTAATGTTATGCTTTTGATTGGCTGTTTTCTCATGGCACTGTAAGATGCTGTTAATATAACGTACAGAAGAAGCAAACTAATGAATAAAATCCATATACTGTATATAAGTATGTGTAGATTTGCACAGACAACACTAAGCTCAGCCCTGATGCCTGAGAAACCTTTCCCCTCCCTGTGGATTTATTTTTTTTGTCCTTGCACTCCTCTTTCACGCCAGGCACTCTCCTTGCCTAAACCCTATAGAGAGAGCTAGATTAATTTCCCAGAGAACACACACTGCTCACTTTGCTTCATGGGGAGAGCTGCCTGGTGGAGTTCAAATCCAGATCAAAGTGGCAGCAGAGGCACCAGGCCTGTACTTCCACCCTGACCATGAGGGGTGAGTCAGAGGCCCTGAATCAAACAGTTACGTCAACAGGAAAAGCAGAAAAAATGAGCTGAGGGGTTAGGATAGCTTGAAGCCACAACTCACAAAGGTACCCCCTAAGCTACTGGGTTGTTAGGAGATGGGACACAATGAAGGAAAGCAATAAACACATCAACCCATAGCCCATTCCCACCCTACCTCCTGCTTCTCCATCATAATCAGTAGGTTCCTCTCCAAAATACTGAGTACTAATTCTTTAACTCTTTAAAATTCTGACTTCTTTTCGTCTCCCCATAAGAAAACCCATGAGTTCTGGCTCTCATCACCTCTAACTGTAACCAAGGACAACACAAACCCTTCTTTGGTGCCTAAGGGAGAAAACCTAAATGGTGTTCTACTCCTCCAGTCCCACCCCATCTATCCAACAAATAATCCAACATCTGCTGCTTTATAAAGGTACATCTAAATCTGCCCCTCCAATCAGAATGCTTCACCCTGCCTAACGTTAAGGCCGGAGTGGACTATAAACTTGCACATCTCGCAGAGAACTGAAGCATCTTAAGTTCTGTGTCCTTTCTCCACACTATCAGGAGCTTTCTAGAGGCAGAAAGAAAGAGAAGGCAGGAAGGCCTGAACACTTTATATTCTGAAATAGAATCTATCAAGCAGGTAAATCAGAAGCAAGGAGCCAGGAGTCCTGGGTTCCCTGAGAGGACGTTTTGGGCATAAGAAGGCCAAAGACAGATCTCTTTGGGTTCTCTTTGCATGAGATTCAATGGGCAGAGGAGGAAATGGGATCAGCACACATTTTCCCACCTGTTTAATGTCCCCCCCCAGTTTTGAATTCTGTATCTTTGCCGCATGTTTACCTGTTCCACAGGGTGTCCCCAGGTGCTGCAGTCTCCCACTGTCACCCACTCTCACGCATCCAGCAAGCCAGGCTGCATCTTCCACTGGGGTATGGTGGCCACTCTCAGCTCTGGCGTTCCTGAGTGTGCTGTGTGTGACTTAAGTCCAGCGATGACTGCACACGGATTTCCCGTGCCTCTGGTCATTCACACACAGGAGGTGGGGCAGGAAAGAGAGGTGGGGGGGGGGGGCAGGAAACTGACTGGGAAGCAGGGCCTCTCCCAAGAACCGGGGAGGGCGCAGGAGCAGGGAGTGGGGCAGACAGGCTAATAAGACATCTGAACTAGCAGGAGCAGGAAGCCCCAGGCAGTTAAACAGAGGTGGGGAGGGGATAGATTTAGAAAATCAGAAGTTGGGGTGTGCGGTTTTTGACATTTGATGGGTTTGCTGTCATCAAACAATGAGGCCTACAGGCAGAGTCATCTGGCCTTGAGGGAAGCTATGTGAAAAGCCTGCATAGTCTGGCTCCTCAGAGCTGGTTGTATTCCTCCACTACCATGTGCAGGATTCAGCTTTGTGGCATGCTGCTAAGGTTGCCAACATTTTAACCAGCCACTGTAGTTGTGCCTATGCTATGAAGATATGTGCAGATTGGCAAGATTCTCAAAGCGATTTGCCAAAACTCTAAAACTGAATGCAATAAATGCAATAGTAAATTATTATTATTATTATTATTATTAATAATAATAATAATAATACCCCGCCCTCCCCAGCCAAGGCCGGGCTCAGAGTGGCTTACAAGCAATAATAAAAACAAGTTGAATGATTACAACTTAAAAACAAAATTAAAATACAACATTAAAATATTGAAACATTAAAATATTAAAATGTAGCCTCATCGCAGGAGGAGAAGGAAAGGAAAAAAGAAAGAGAGGGAGGGAATCAAATTGGCTCCAAGCCAAAGGCCAGGCGGAACAACTCTGTCTTACAGGCCCTGCGGAAAGAAATCAGATCCTGCAGGGCCCTGGTCTCATGAGGCAGAGCGTTCCACCAGGTCGGAGCCAGAGTTGAAAAGGCCCTGGCTCTGGTTGAAGCCAATCTAACTTCCTTAGGGCCCGGGACCTCTAGGGTGTTGCTTTTTATGGACCTTGAGGCTCTCTATGGGGCATACCGGGAGAGGCGGTCCCGTAGGTACGAGGGTCCTAGGCCAGGAAGGGCTAAAGATCAAAATAGGGTAGATGCCTTAGGGACAGCCTAGTGAAGCCTTCCCTAACCTTCTGCCTTCCAGATGTTTTGAACTACCACTCCCATGATGGCTAGTGTGTATAGGAGGAGTTGGGAAGGCCCTCCATACGTTGTTGGACTCAGATTTCCATCAGGCCCAGCCAACATGGCCAAAGAACAGGTATTATAGGAGTCATAGAAATCAGGAGCCATATGCTCCACTTAGATCCCCACCATTCAGGAACAGCAAAAGCAATTGCAATTGCAAGCTAAGGAAAAACAGTGTGTTGTCTGCACTCAGTCTGTATGCAAGCTATCATAGGCGTGTGAATGTTGTGGGCAGTATTCTTGGCTCAGATATGGCATATGGGTGGGAGAATTTGGCACAGTATTTGGCAGAGGCCAGGGCATCGTAGCTTCATGAGTGCTGCCAACCCTCTGGACGCTGCACGTGCATAAATATATTTCCCACACCTGTTTCCTTAGTCATTATTCTGGGCGGAGATTTGCTTCCCCTTTGCCACACTCCCCTTCATATGCACTTTCGCCCACCCGCTTCGGCTGTTTTACAGGGTGTGTGTTGCTTTCCCCCGACCCCGATTATTTTTTTCAGCTGGGACTTGGGGTGTGTGCTTGCACAGTACATGAGCCTTCATTTCCCCTACACCCTTTTCCCTGGCCCTGTAGGCTTGGGTGTGGGCAAGGGAGTGGGTGTTTATGACCTGACTTCACACCTTTCATTTGTTTCCAGTGTATGTTGGGTGTGCCCTTCGTATGTGCTCGCAGGACCTTGGCTTTGGGCAAATTGCTGATCTAGGTAATCTTTGAGTCACTCTGAGCTCCATGATATTGTGATTCTTCAAGCCTCTTGCGTCCCACATGGTCAGATGACAAGAAGTACTGACCAGTTTTCTTATATTCTTCTTTTTTAAAAGACACAGCATTGGGTGGGTGGGTGGAATTCAGACCATGACCATGTCACTGGAGGGGGCTTTCTGTGGCTTTTATGTTCAGAGTTCACAGAGGGAGATGCATAAGAATGAGGGAGGGGTGAAATAAAGGAAAGAAAATGACCTGAACACCGTCATTTATACAAACAAATTTATTGAGAATGATTATTCCCTCAGCTTGTTTTGAATGAACATTTTATGTTGTTTCCCCCTTCTTTAAACCTACCAAAATAACCTTAACTCAGTGTCACATCTGCTGAGGTAACTAACAGCTTGACTAAGTTCTTTCAGATGGTCTGGAAGAGCATCTGCTGTGGGTCGATAAGGCAAGGGGAGGTTGAAGTTTATATTCTACCAGCAAAGGTTCCCTGTGCACGCTCACCATCCCAGCGTTGTATCTGAAGGGATGGAAATAGAAAGGAGGTTGCGGAAGCTTAGTCAACAGCCCCAGACATTGTGATACTTAGGGCAAAATAAATCGAGTTATATCTTCCCACAGTAATGAATAATATAATCAATGTTATCATCTATGTAATTCACAATTTTCAGTTCTCAAATAGTATTCCAAAATCTCTCACCTGAGAGAGAAATATTGTGATCAAGAACCTGTGTACTTTGCTGTATTTTTTAAGTTTAAATTTTAGAATACTCTGATTAGGCCAGGAATGGGAAACTCCAGGTGTTGTTAGGGTGACAACTCCCATTATACCATCCCGACCATTGACCATGTTGGAGCTAGCAGGAGTTGTGGTCCAGCAACAGCTGGAGAGCCACAGGTTCCCCATCTGTGGCTAAGCAATCCAAATTCTATGCTGAGAAAACTGGATTTTGTGACCCGTATAAATTATGCAAATTTAGAAAATGTTTTGTATAGCTTATTCTGCACTTGATACTTTATTTTTAAAAATTCTGGATTTGCTAGTCCTGAAGAGACTAGTGGCCTGGAATCTTGGGCCCGGTCTATGCAGCAGACTAAGATAGCAGATGATCCTGAGGCAGAACAACAACACTTCAGACACTAGGTGTGGGATACCATTCTTGTGTGAAAGTCCTCATAAGAAAAGAAAATAAAACATTCAAGGCATATAAAAAGCTACCAGATCAGCTATCTGCTGTGTTATTTTTCTTCTTACTGGAAGTTGTTCCATCCTTACTGGAAGTTTTTTAATGCAAGGGAGCACTAGCAGTCTGAAGTGGCTTTAAATATAGTGTACATACATATATTTTTGCTGTTCAGCCAGTATATCTTGCTATGTATCTGTTATTGTTTTTTAATAAAATTTTTATTAGGGTTTTTACATTACAAAATAGAAAAAGAAAAAAGAAAAAATACAAAATAAAAGTAGTTAAAAACAATAAATCTTTTCATCACATTATTTTTCATTTACTTGTTTCCCGGACCTCCTCGTACCTCCCTTTTTTGTATTCCAGTTCAATTTATTAACTCAGCAGTTTCTTTCCCTCTTTATTCTACCCAGATCTTTAATCTTAAATTATTATAACATTAAATTTTTACTTATAAAAAACCATTTTTTCATATTCTTTTATACCATTAGCTAGAAACCACTTAATTTCAATCCAACATCATTCTAACATTCATTAATTTTACAGTATCTTGCTATGTATCTGATTTTGCTCCAAGGATCCTCTGTGATAAAGGATTTTGCATAAAGATACTAAAAATTGCCCAAAATGCAGGCCATGACTTGAGTCTTGGCAAAAAAATTATCATTTGCTACGTTTGCATCAAGCTGCCCTTTTTTAAAGGGGTGGAATTTTTAATCAGGCAAGTTGTCATCCCTCTCCCCAAGGCCAAAATTTGGTTCAAGGTACAAAATAAGCCCCATTTCATTCCCAAAACATTAAAGAGCATTTTTAAGCAAAAACAAAATGAAACCATATCTGTTGTTTCAACTCCATGTTGGTTACAACTTCATTGACATTGTTGAAAAGAAAGAGTGCAGCAGACTTGATGCTTTTTTACTTACCCAAGAAACTGGACACAGGGATTTGAAGACCCTGTGGTACCATTCACACACCTTGATGTCCTTGCCGTTGGCTTTTACGGTCTTCACACAGCGGTAATAATCTGCAAAAAAAGGAAAAAGAAGCAACATGTCAACTTCTAAAGCGCCACCACTCCTGTTTCTGCACTGGTGGACACTTAATGTCTGCTTAAATTCCATATCATCTGTAGCTTTGTACCAGCCAGTCGGAGTCACCCTCTCCATAATGATTAAAAGTTCCTCTAGCCAATAACATATCTCAGTCTGAACCTACCAACAAGACACACCGAAGCAGAAGAGCACACAGCTCCTCTTGGCTTTGGCTCCAGGGACATTAACAGTACAACTCTATGCATGTCTAGTCAGAAAAAGTAAGCCCTATTGAGCTCAATGGGAGTGTGAAAGATCTAGTGGAGGGGGCTTTTGCTTACTGGCAAACCCACCCATCCTTTCACTAGGGTGAAATCCCAAACTCTCCAGGAGGTGCTGGCGAGCTACCGTGGAATATAGAGTTTCATTTAAAAGACAGAGTGTTACTTCCAGATGGGGAGAAATTTGACTTTTTGGTTTATGTATCAGAATGTATTTAAAGCAGCATTAGGCTGAAAAAAAGGGATCCTCCTGATACCCAAGACAGTTTCTTTTTTTGCCATTTTCACAGGCATTTCCCCCAGCTGCCTTGTTATCTGAGCAACAGAGTCAAAACTTTCTTAGCAATGAGTCTTTATTACTTCTGTGTATAGTACACCACACTACTAAAGCTATACTATATGAATAATAACAATAATACATAAAGCTGTAGAGCAGGGGTCAGCAAACCTTTTCAGCAAGGGGCCGGTCCACTGTCCCTCAGACCTTGGGGGGGGGGATCAGGCTATATTTGGAGGGGGGGAATGAACGAATTTATATGCCCCACAAATAACCCAGAGATGCATTTTAAATAAAAGCACATATTCTACTCATGTAAAAACACCAGGCAGGCCCCACAAATAACCCAGAGGTGCATTTTAAATAAAAGGGCACATTCTACTCAGTAAAAACACGCTAATTCCTGGACCGTCCGCGGGTCAGATTAAGAAGGCGATTGGGCCGGATCCGGCCCCTGGGCCTTAGGTTGCCTACCCATGCTGTAGAGGTTAGGAAGGGCATCTAAACATATATACGATGAAAAGCCTGACAAATAAAATATATCTTATCAGCCTGCCCCTCCCAAATATCTCAAAAGTGGTTCAATACCATGAATGAAAAATCTTGTCCAGTGCACCCATATCCCTCTCTTTTACCCACCCAGGTAGTTCTGGTAGCAGTTCTTGGTCTGGTTGGTGTTTGGAAAGCGGGGGTCAAATGGGGCCGTGAGATAGTCACCCTGTTTTTTCTTCAATTGGTTGATCTCTTCTGCTGATGGTGCAGCAGCTGAAAAGGTCTGCATTTCTGAGAGGGGGGAAGATGAGAGACTCAAGTAACCTGCAACACTGCCCATCGCCAGAGCAGACAGCCACCCCAGCTCTCAGCTACATCCTAGAGAACTTAAGAGTTCTGGTCAAAAATAGCTTTTCATTCCCAGTTCCTTTGCTCTAACAGCAGGGTTGCCATATTTCAAAAAGTAAAAACCAGGACACCCCAAAGTTGTTGAGCATACTTTTTTTTTACAAAATCGCGGTTTTTCGATTGATCCTGGACATCAATTCTGGCTTTGAAATCCCAGTAATGCCTGGGGAAATTCCGACATATGGCAGTCCTATCTAACAATCCCAAGGCGCTGCAAGATTAATACACCTCTGGTTTTTTCTTGGCCTAATGTTCAACCCAATCCGGCCCATGCTTTAGCCTAGCGGTTCTCATATTCCTTCCAAACTCTTATTCCCCTCCTTGCCACATCTACTCCTCTTCTCTGCTTTAGTCCTTCCTTTCCACAGATGTCATATTACAATGACTCGTCATGGGCCTCTTAACTCCTAGCTGTTGCCACCAGAGGTGTACCTAGGCTCCCTTGGCAAGGAGCTGTATCAGTGCCCCCCCCTCCCCGGACCCTTGCACTCCTCTGCCGAGGTGCCTAGAGTAACCTGTGCACCTCGCCCCACAGCCCAGAGCAGAATTACGGACTTGTAGTGTTGGAAGGGACCACGAGACTCATCTAGTCCAACCCCCTGCAATGCAGGAATCTTTCACCTGGCGTGGGGTGAAAGACACACTCTGGGATCAGGCCAAAGGCCCTTTAGTCCAGCATCCTGTTGTCACAGTGGCCAACAGGATGTGTCCTGAATACAATAGTACTCTTTCATTCACGATCCCCTCACAATCCTACTCCATCCTCACTGGTGATTCCTAGATTCATAGCCATCCTGCCCCCCAACAGCATGGACAGGGGCCTAAAGCCTCTCTGCCAACCAAAGCGCTGAAGGAAAACCAACCCTGGGATTATGGGTTGTATGGCAGCTGCAAACTGGCAAGGTTTTCTAGAGGACTGAGGTAGTTCCGACTTTTCTCTCCCCCAACCCCCCCGCATGGAGTAGCAGCCCAAGAAATTTCCAGAAGGCGCTGAAGGGAAAGCCCTCCAGCCAATCAAATGGCAGATACCCTCCTCCTGGCACAACTGACGGTGGGTTGGGAATAACTGCCATGGAATCTTCTGGAAGGGGTGCAAAGGGAAGAACGAACAGTGGTGTGTCTTAGCAGCGAGATAGGGCAAAATGTTCCCACCTCTGCTAGAGAAAAGAGGCCACTGTTCAATCCTGTATTTTCACACACACTCACACACAATCTGAGGGAAAAAATGATGTGGAATCTTCCTGATTCAAATTAGAGAATAGAAGTCTGTCCATCCCGCCTCCCCACACCCCCTTTTTATGACTCCCAATGATGAATGTTGCCAAATTTGGAGAGGGTTTTTTTTTAAGGGGGAGGGGGATGTAACTGTAGTGAGTTTGGTGTTTGCATAAATCTATGCCATGTCCTTTCCCTGGAGGGTGCAAATGTCCCCAAAAGAAAGCAAAGCACACGCAAGAGTTAGGCACAAAGCAAATACGTTTATTGTTCAGCTGAACAGATCTAACGTGCGGCTCACCCCAGAAAGGCAGGGTAGACAACTTGCATCCACCAGGACTGTTCCCTAAACAGATACTCCTACTTTGCTCTTCTGTTGTCAGCTATAAGTGGAATTGCAATTGGCTTTCCACACTCTCAGTAGTCCAGCATTTTTGCCTTGGCGAGAAGGCCCCACTGCCAACAACAACAACAATAACAACAGCAGGAATTATTTATACCCCGCCCATCTGGCTGGGTTTCCCCAGCCACTCTGAGCAGCTTCCAACAGAATATTAAAAACACAATAAACCATCATTCATTAAAAACTTCCCTAAACAGGGCTGCCTTCAGATGTCTTCTAAAAGTCAGATAGTTGTTTATTTCCTTGACATCTGATGGGAGGGCATTCCACAGGGCGGGCGCCACTACAGAGAAGGCCCTGTGCCTGGTTCCCTGTAACCTCACTTCTCACAAGGAGGGAACCACCAGAAGGCCCTCAGAGCTGGACTGGTGCTTTAAAGGTCAGCACCAACACTATGAATTGTGCTCGGAAACGTACTGGGAGCCAATGTAGTTCGGTGGCCACTCCCAGTCACCAGTCTAGCTACCGCATTCTGGATTACTTGCAGCTTCCGGGTCACCTTCAAAGGTAGCCCCACATAGAGTACATTGCAGTAGTCCAAGCGGGAGATAACTAGAGCATGCACCACTCTGGCGAGACAGGTAGGGTAGGGTAGAGAGCTGCCCTGGACACAGAATTGACCCGCGCCTCCATGGACAGCTGTGAGTCTGAAATGACTCCCAGGCTGCGCACCTGGTCCTTCAGGGGCACAGTTACCCCATTCAGGACCAGGGAGTCATTCATACCCACCTGCCGCCTGTCCCCCCAAAACAGTACTTCTGTCTTGTCTTGTCAGGATTCAACCTCAATCTGTTAGCTGCCATCCACCCTCCAACCATGGCGCCATTGTCCTGCGGAGTTGTAGAGCAGTCTGTGTAAGGGGCTGCTCCGATCCCGACTCCCTAGCATAGGAGCAGCCAAAGGGGTCAGTTTCTCAGAAGTTATTTCAGCTGGCTGGCTGGCTGGCTGACTGACTGACTAGCCTGGATGGACTAGGTGCTGTTGCCTTAGCACACTCCGCTCCAAAAGCTCCAGCAGCTCCTGTGATCAGTGAGCCCAGCCCTTGACTCTCCTGGGCCCGAGTAACTAAATAACAGTGGAACGGACTTTGTAAGGAGGTGGTGAGCTCTCCTTCACCGGAGGTTTTTAATAAGAGATTGGATGGCCATCTGCTTTAGTTGAGATTGCCTGCATTGCAACTCTGCAATTCTTTGATATGATTCTAGGATCCAGGTACCCTGATTTTGGATGTTGCTGCCTCTTTAATGTAAAAACTCCTCCATAATGTTCTCCCGCCTTACTCTCCAAGGCCAAATAGTCTTAGTTTAGCCAGAACATCTCAGCACTTGGTGCTTTGGAGAAGCAGCTTAGAGTTGGCACCTCTGGCAGCACCATCATTTCCCTGCTTTTCATCTCAGGGGTGTGTGGTGTGTGTGTGTGTGTGTGTGTGTGTGTGTGTGTGTGTGTGTGTGTGTCACTCACTTCAGCTGGAAGAGTATGCATAGCACCACCCCTGGTGGCTATTTCTGGAATGCACCTTCCTCAGAAGACCCACTCTAGAGCTCAGAGAGGATCTCTTCAGGCTGGGAGGGGGTCTCCTTCCAAGCCAGAGGCTTGTTGAGGCTGCTCAGCTGAGACAAGGGGAGTCTTCTGTGCCTCAGCTGAGAAGCTTAATGAGGGTCTCCCTGCCTTTCTGGGAGCCTGAAGAGCCTCAGCAAAGCCCCTTTGCGCCTCGGGCTCACAAGTAGACCCTCCCTGGAGCCTGAAGAGAAAATCATCTACGGTCTCCAGAGACTATCTCCTTGCGAGCCAGAGGGGCTTTGCAGAGGCTGGTCAGGTCTCTTCCCTCACTTTGGGGCCCAGCTGAGAGGTGCCAGAACACTGTTCCAGCGCTTTCCAGCTGGGGAAAAAGCCCTGCTTTTACCACCCATACACTCTGTTTAGGTAGTTCCTTCTGGAGTCCCCCACAATCTCTTTTTGTTTTACTTACCATGAACAGTTTAGTATCATCAGCAAAATTGGTCACCTCACTGACCACTCCTAATTTTAGATCATTTATGAACAAGTTTGACCAAACTGCAGGAGGCAGTGGAAGACAGGAGTGCCTGGTGTGCTCTGGTCCATGGATTCGGACAAGACTAAACAACAACAAAGAACAAGTTAAAAAGCACAGGTTCCAATACTGATCCTTAGGGCACTCCACTTTTTACATCTCATCATTCAGAGAACTGGCCATTCATACCTACTCCTTGCTTTGTACAGCTTAACCAATTCCTGATCTACAAGAGGACCTCTCCTCTTCTTCCTTGACTGCAAAGCTTACTTCAGAGTCTTGGGTGAGACACTTTGTCAAAAGCTGTGGACTTATCCACATTTACCTTTTGCCCCGAGCTTTCTAGGCACAGGTCTGCACTTTAAAGCACTGTGTCTCAGCACTTTTTTTTTTGGCACCAGCACTTTTCCTGCAAAAACTTGCTCATTACACTAAGTTGGAACAAACAGCAATTTGGATTTTCCAAGCTAGCTTTTTCCTCTGAGGGGAAAAATTAAAATGGTGCTCCAACCCTCCACCTCACCCACCCACCTATCCAACAAATTATCCACAAGTGGAGTGATAACATTTCTTCATTTGGCAGGTCACACTTGAGCAAGGGTAGGCAAACTAAGGCCCGCGGGCCAGATCCGGCCCAGTTGCCTTCTGGATCCGGCCCACAGATGGTCTGGGAATCGCCGCGTGGATCGGCATGGATCTGATCGTTTGGGCTGCACCAGTGTGCACGTTCAGCAGTGCCTCCTCCCTCCCTCCTCCTTGCTTCTCCCTGCCCTTCCTAGAGCCAAGAAGAAGGGGACTGGGCTTTGTTGGTGCCAGCAGCAGCAGCAGCGTTAACGCTCAAGCGGCCACCATTGTAAGCAGGCTCAATTCGGGCTTTGTTGCTGCCAGCCCTCTCTGGAGCCCTCTCGCAACGTCCTGCTGCCGCCAGCCCCTGCCGCTCGCAAAACACAGGTAAGCAGCCACCGGGGCTTGTTCAGTACTGTGAAGAAGGGAGGGGAGAGTTGTGGGGGTGGTGGAATGGCTTACCTAAGTAGAATGTGTGCTTTTATTTAAAATGCATCTCTGGGTTATTTGTGGGAATTCGTTCATATATTTTTTTCCAAAATATAGTCCGGCCCCCACAAGGTCTGAGGGACAGTGGACCGGCCCCCCGCTGAAAAAGTTTGCCAACCCCTGCACTTGAGAGTAACCATCTGGCTTACAGTCACAGGCATCAAGCCCTTGTGTCAACAATCTGTGAGTTCTGGTTGGGTTTGGCTCTAACCAGAAAAGGAAAGAAAACAAGACCTCCTCTTCCTTCTTCTATGTTTATTAAAAAATAGTCTGATACTTGGCATATCTATAGCAACGAGTTGTTCCAATTTCCTTTTATATATATAAGTAACCTTTATTGAGTAGCATCCTGGTTCACTCATCACTTCAACACGGGCTGTGACAGGAACCAAATGTGCCGTGGACTCCATCAAGACAAGGTCCTTTCAAAGTGGTTCTGTTACAACTTCTGAAAGCAAGAGCAGGGGAGCACAATGTGTTACAACACACCATCTATTTAAGGTGGTCCTATCCTGGTTTGCATTTTAAAGCCCTCAAGGCAGCTTACCTAACAAATGCAAACTACATAAAACATAACTATCAAAGAGCAGTTGTCCTCTTTGTCATTGCTTCCCCTACATCCAGGATCTCAGATACCATTAAAAGCTTGGGAAACTAGAAGGGACCTAAAGGATAGTAATGATGGTGCCAGGCAAGCATGACCAGGCAGAGAAACCCTCTCCCTTTTAGCTGTCTACTAGGACTGTTTCTAAGCAGGTTCTCCTAGGAAAATACAGCCTTTGCTCTTCTGTTGTAAGCTATAACTGGAACTGCGGTTGACTTTCCACGCTATCAGAAGTCCAGCATTTTTGCTCGGGGCTAATGTTCTGTCCACCCTGGTCGTCTTCATCATTATCATCATCATGGCTTGGTGGTCATGATGTAGCTGCAATGGATAGGGCAGCACACCTTCCCCACAACCCTTGTGATTTGTGTCATTTTATGACCCCGATTATATTTAAAATCATTATTGTAATTATTGTTAAAATGGAGTGTGTTTTGGGGAGGGGCCGTAAAATGAACACTTATGGACAGATTTCCATTGGAGCTTCAGTGATTTAGAAATGCAGAAAGAAGCCCCTGGAAGAAAGAAGAAAGCATGGGAGAACTTTTACACTATGGGCTGGTTCATATATGACTGCAACCTCAAGTGAAGGGTGGCACATGGAAAGGGGCTATCACAGATCATCACCTCAAGTGCACATTTTGCCGTCTCACCAGTACAACCATTTAATACCGCTCTTATATCATGGTCTCATGGATAACCCTGGCAACTGTAGTTTGTTCAGGGTGCTGGGAATTGTGGGTCTGTGAGTTCTGCATCCTAAGCATACTACAGTTCCCAGGAATCTTTGGTGGAAGCCAAAATCTTTAAAGTTGCATTAGAGTACTTCAAATGTATGGTGTGGGTTAGGTTTAGCATCTTACATTAGGGTCCGGTACCTTGTAATCACCCTTGCCTTTCAGTCTCTCCAGCGATGAGGACAAGACACTATAGATGGTTATGAAAGTAGGGCTGCTTCTTTGTCTCGCTGTAAAGCAAATGGAGCCGTTAGTGGGTGCCTGGCTCTCAGTGACACTAGCACCAGGCAGGAGCATGATGGTGGGGGATATGGGAGCTAAGCATTGCTGTAGATCATTTAATTGGCATTTCGTCTTACCTGAACTCAGAGCCTTTCCCAATTTGTTTATGGACTTATTGCTCCTAGTAAAAAAGAAGTTTAATTAGTTCACTTTGTACAAGGAGTTAAACATAAAGATAGTTATTGATTCCTTAGTATTATTATTCTAAGGTTTATAATGGCCTGAGACCATTTACTGGCCTTGCTTGGAATCCCAGGAGTGTTCCATTGAGTGTTATACAGAATAGAAATGAATGAAAATGGGGGATGTTAGGGTGGTAGGCTGCTCCCATGTGCATTCCTTGGAACATACAGAGAGCCCTGTATGTGCAAGATTTCTGATCATAGGAAGAAAGGGCTCTCAATGCCAGTTGGTTCTCCCAGCTTACCTGGGTGGTTTCCCTGAGGCGCTTCTGGACTGGATCTGTTTAGCTAGATCTTTACTTTGTTTTTCTGTTTCCAGTGCTTTGCTCTGAGGTCTTGATGTTTGGCCACCCACTTTGGAGGGCCTCACACCCGCATTATCCCAGCCTTGATCAGAAGGGCCCACTGCCAGCGATGCCTTTGTCCTGCGGAGTTGTAGAGAAGGCTCCTTTTCCTTCGGGGATGGACTCTGAGAAGGGGGATGCTCCTGCTCTGGGGAGGGGCTTAAAGGAGTCTGTGGCCTGCTTGGCGTTGGGGATTTCACATCTATGCGGAGTTGTGGAGAAGGCTCCTTTTCCTTCAGGGATGGACTCGGAGAAGGGGAGCGCCCCTGCTCTGGATAGGGGTTTAAAGGAGTCTGTGGCCTGCTTGGCGTTGGGGATTTCACGTCTGTGCGGAGTTGTAGAGAAGGCTCCTTTCCCTTCGGGGGTGAACTCTTAGAAGGGGAGCGCCCCTGCTCTGGATAGGGGTTTAAAGGAGTCTGTGGCCTACTAGTCTTTGGGGATTTCACGTCTGTGCGGAGTTGTAGAGAAGGCTCCTTTCCCTTCGGGGGTGAACTCTTAGAAGGGGGGCGCCTCTGCTCTGGGGAGGGGCTTAAAGGAGTCTGTGGCCTACTAGTCTTTGGGGATTTCACATCTGCTGTCTGTGAACGTGAGGGGCTGCTCCGATTCCGACTCCCCAACTTAGAAGGAGCAGCCAAAGTGGCCAGTTCCCCAGAAGTCATTTGATCATGCCAGCTGAGTAGCCTGGATGGGTTAGACGCGGCTGCCTTAGCACCCACTCCACGAGGTCCAGCGGCCACTGAGGTGGGAGATCTTGGGGCAGAAGTGGCTGGTGATGGTCTGGACGTGTGCCCCTGGAAAGGAAGAAGGAGATGCTATCCTCCTGGCCTAGGTGGGTAATGGAGTCCCCAAAGGCAGGGAAAGAGAAAGGCAATTATCATACCTTTGCTTCCAAGGAAAGCTTGGCCCACCCACTTCTCGATGAGCTAGAGCTCCTGCTTTCTGAATCCATTCAGGAAGGTGGTCCCCTGAGCACTTTCCAGCTGTTGGGTGGGAGACTCCACTAGACTACATGGGCAGGGGACCATGTAAAAACATTTTGCCTACTACAATACAAAACATGGAGCATCCCCCATCCCAATCTTTTGCTTTTAAACATCTTGCCTGAAGAGGAGTTCTGGAGAACTCAAAAGCTTGCACACTATTTTGCTATATTTTGGTTGGTCATAAGAACATAAGAAGAGCTTGCTGGATCAGGCCAATGGCCCATCTAGCCCAGCATCCTGTTCTCACAACTGCCCACCAGATGCCTACAGGAAACCTGCAAGCAGGTCCAATAAGGGAATTGTCTGAATCTGGATTGTAGAACATGGACAGCATTTGATTTCTTGTGAGGAACTGAAACTCTGCTCTCCTCCCAGGTTCTGGCTTCCCACATTGGTGCCATTTTTTTGTCATAAAGCACCTCGAGTCTGACAGCCAGTCAGTAATGGCATCTACAGAGTCGGAGAAGGAAACGTTCAGACTCTTTTAACTGTCCTTACCTCCCTGACTGGGATTCCACGTGTTTCTTGAGCAGAGCGGCCAGGAACACCTTGAGAGGGGGGAAAGGAGAGGAGGCAGGAAGCAAGATAGTAAATGCTGTGGAGGCTCCTAAGAGACCTGTGGTTGAAGAGGGGTCTGTATAAAATAGGGAAGGGGCACAGGTTCTAGGGAAATACACCCCTGCTCCCCCAGCTGCTTCAGGCTCTCAGCTGCATTAAAGCTGACGTTTAACCTGAGTGGGGCCCTTGACTTCAGTCCTTCCATCCTTACCTGATTTTCGGATGATACGTTTTGCAACAGGGGCACTTTCCCTGCAACGGAAAGGCTGGAATGAAAACTGCACCAAACCCCCCCCCCAAAAAAAAACTACCACAGTTTGACAAGAGCTGAATCATTGACTCCAGCCTTCCGCAACTTGGTGCCTTCCAGATGTTTTGGACTCTAACCAGGGCTGGGCCCAAGACACCTTGCTACTTGAAGCATTCCACCTCGACTCCCTGCTACTCTGCCTGTGCGGCAGTGGAGTATGTCACACAGACACAGCTGTAATGTGGGAAGGACATGGTTGTAAACGAGGTGGCAGATGAGGCAGCGTGGAGACAGCACAGCCACAGAAGCAGTGGCAAGAGCAGTGCACTCCTTGGTCCTGATCTGCTACCTGAGGCAACTGCCTCACTGTGCCTCATCTCCCATCACCCCTAGCCAGCATGGTCAAAGGTCAGGGATGGTGGGAGTTGTAATCCAAAACATCTGGAAGCCAGCGCATTGGGAAAAGCAGATTTACTCACTTCACAGAGATGGGAACAGGGACACACTTGTGCTATCTGTATTCTCATTGTAAAGTTTGCTAGTAAGGCCTTACCTCTGCTACTACCCCTCACCACACCATTACATATTGTTGAAGACTCAGTCCTCCCCCCACCACCCCATAGGACTGGAGTGGCCTGACCACCAACTTAAAAGCAACAATTGCTTGTCCTTTTGGTTAAAGAGCAAAACACAGATGCCTGACAATGTGTTCTCTCTACAAAATGTGCTTCCAAATACCCCTTGATTGTGAACTCATTGCGTTTCCAGAGTTGGGTCGTTAATCCATGTTCACGTGACATTATCCAAAATGCCTGTGTCTCCTGGGTTTTGTTATAAGATAATACTGTTGGGTGAAATGTTTCTCAAGCCAACTTCCCACTGATTGGAGTGCTTAAACCATTCCTAATTTCTAGCCGAGATAAGAATGCCTTTGCATAGGGTAAAGACATCGCCACCCCATCAGTGCCCCCTGCTGTGTTCACAAGCAGAAGCTAATCTGGCAGTAATGAAGCTGGGCTGATGTGAACAGCTAGTGTAGCTGGCCTGGTACAATACCATGGTGCAAAGTATAATGAATAAATGAAATGCAACTCCTTCTACACTCCAGGGCAGCTGCATTGGGCACACAGGCTGAATCAGAAAAAGTACTGCCTCAATGGACTAATGCAGAGCTTTCCAAACATTTCATGTTGGTGACACACTTTTTAGACATGCATCATTTTGCGACACAGTAACTCAGTTTTACCAGCAAACTGGAGGTTAAAGTAACCCCTTTCCAGCCTGGGGGGGAGCGCGGGAAGGGTTCACGCGACACACCTACACACTGCAGCCAATACACTAACATGTTGCAACACACAAGTTTGGAAAGCTCCGGACTAACATATCAGGGCCTGTCCAGCTTAAATGTTCTCATCAGCATTGCAAAGACAATGAGCTAGGCTGCGGTAAGTGACAGTGCTTTCCAGGAAGGGTGGTGGGCATTTCCCTGCACTCGCTGGAGGCCACCTTGTCCTGGGTGGGGGGAGGGTTCTGTGTGTAAGAGGTGTGTTTGTGACTTGGGCTGATGCTGGAAGCCGGAGGCACAGAAACATGTCTGCTCCGTGTTGGACTTGGGGCTCCCCTGGAAACCAAGTAGGGAAGCAAGACCTGTTAGGATGCTAATACTGTAAGTCCCTCCATCCTATGCTCAGGTTGTATATCCTAAAGACAACAGTGTCTCCGCTGGCCGTCATTTCGAGGCAATGAACTCTGGGTAAGCACAGGCAACCCTGGAGTCTCTTGCCACTTGGGGTCTAGGATTGTGTGCAATGATATCATGTTATGGGTTGTTAATCCCAATACAGACGAAATACATACAGGGATCTTGACGTGCTCTTGACCAGGTTGGCTTCACGCAGCTGCTCCTTCACTATTTCATTAGAGTCTTCTTCAGCCATGACAATTGCAAGCCAATGCTGATGGAGAAAGACAGTGAGTCTTACACATGTATAAGGATACAGTAAGGCTGGGCCATAAAGAAGGCTGATCGCCGAAGAATTGATGCTTTTGAATTATGGTGCTGGAGGAGATTCTTGAGAGCCCCATGGACTGCAAGATCAAACCTCTCCATTCTTAAGGAAATCAGCCCTGAGTGCTCACTGGAAGGACAGATCCTGAAGCTGAGGCTCCAAGACTTTGGCCACCTCATGAGAAGAGAAGACTCCCTGGAAAAAAAACCCTGATGTTGGGAAAGATGGAGGGCACAAGGAGAAGGGGACGACAGAGGACGAGATGGTTGGACAGTGTTCTCGAAGCTACCAGCATGAGTTTGACCAAACTGCGGGAGGCAGTGGAAGACAGGAGTGCCTGGCGTGCTCTGGTCCATGGTGTCACGAAGAGTTGGACACGACTAAACGACTAAACAACAACAACAACAACAAGGATGGCAGCCAGGGACTGGGATGTGGAGGGAGGGGGAGGGTTAGGCACCCATAACAACTACATTTCCCAGGATTCTTTGGGGGAAAGGCAGGTTTTAAATGTATGGTGCATGTACGCATCCAAAACAGAGAGACCGATGGGTTGGCCAATGTGACGGGCAAAGGTGGTAGACTTTGAGGGGGCTTTGTTTCATGAGACTGACCTTCTCGGGCGTAGCACGAAAGCTAGCGCTCTTCCATATCGTGTGGAGCCCGGATTGCTTTGACGTAAAGCTGATTGGATCACTGATCCTGCCACTGGCCACATTCAAGACGTAAATGAGACGCAGCCAGCGCTGAAAGATGATGTCCTCTTGCCCTGCAGGGGCACAGAGTTGCAGATAATATTTCCGGCCATTTGCCATCTTCACTCTCAGCTGCCGTTCATTCATGCTATGTACTTGAAACGCCACCAGGTTTAAAGAGATCAACCTGCGGGCAGAGGAAAGACTCAGCCTAGGAACCTCTGAGGTGGTGGTGGTGCTTTCTCTGGGAAGGTTTTGGGGCGATGGAGAGCAGGAGCTGGGTGGCTGTGCTAGTCTCACCTAGTGACTTCCAGGTCTTTAGCCTTTGCCTCTATATCTCTGATGCCTTTTCTCACCCGGGCAATGACCATCATGTCTGGAAGTAGCAAACCTGGACTGCTGGACAAAATGCCAACCATAACTAAATTGGGTTGGTTGTGGATCACGGCATATTCACCCGTCTTGGTTAACTGCATGGAGAGAGGAGGGTAAGGAGTCTGCTAAGAACGGAACAAATGCACGGGTGTTGGGCTCCTCAAACAAGCTAGAGCACCTGGAACGGACTGGGCGCTGCAGGGAGTGACTAACAGGACATTTCCCCAGCTGTTCCTCAAAGGATGGCCTTCTGCAGGCCTGGAGTCTCTTCAACTCGCTATCAAAACCGGGTGGAAGGAGGCACAAAATGGTCATTGTCTCTGGCTCCTCCTCTTGTTTGGGCTCCCTCTCTGCCCTATCAGTTCCAATGGGCACCAACAGTGGCAGATCTTTGGGTCTCACATTTCAGCGGTGCACAAAATTTGGCGCACCTCACCTCTCATACTCCATTCTAAATCGTAGTTGTGGCATTCCTTGGGTGGGCTCAGCCCCATCAACTGCATGTTTGGGGGGGGGCTGAAGTCACCTCATCCCTTAGGAGTTGGCACCCCTCCTCCGACAGGGAGCCATGCAAGAGAAATCTCTCCCTTCTGTATGAAAAAACCCCCACTGCCCGGGCATGACCAATGGTCCATCACCTGTAGAAAGGTGCTCTCAAAGATCTCCCCTTCTCCTAATGGAGAATACTCCGGCCTCCGCAGCAGCTGCTTGAGTCTCCCTGTTGCTGAGGACCGGCCCTGCGCAACCCGTCTGCCTCTGTGGGTTTTACGTGGAGCCCTCCTCCACTGACGTTCTAGGAGACAGACGGGGAATTAAAACGAACAAAAATGAAAAAGATAAATCCCACCATAACCCCTCCCCCAGACTAGAGGCCTCTCCCTTAAAATCACAGACTACATGCACACACCGTATATTCAAATTGAATTCCTCCAAAGAATCCCGGGTACTGCAGTTTGTTAAGGGGCTGGAAACTACAGTGGTACCTCGGGTTACATATGCTTCAGGTTACATACGCTTCAGGTTACAGACTCGGCTAACCCAGAAATAGTGCTTCAGGTTAAGAACTTTGCTTCAGGATGAGAACAGAAATCGTGCTCCGGCGGAGCGGCAGCAGCAGGAGGCCCCATTAGCTAAAGTGGTGCATCAGGTTAAGAACAGTTTCAGGTTAAGAACAGACCTCCAGAACGAATTAAGTACTTAACCCGAGGTACCACTGTATAGGGGGTAAATACAGCTTCCAGGATTTTTCAGGAGGGTGTGTTGCTTTAACTGTGGGGGTAATTCTGCGGTGACATCATCTTTTGTGTTTTAGGTAACATTATTTGAACTCCAATTGTTTGTTAACTGGCTGGATCTTCCCTACAAAAATAATCAAGAAGTATGCCTCAGGAAGTTTGAATGCTTAATTCTTCTTGTGATTTAAAAGATGTGGCCGGGGTAACAGTTCTGCAACCTTGATAATTCATCTGGAACCATGATGTTCTCTCTAAAAGTATGAATTTGGGGGTGGGTGGGGAACAACCACCTGCGGCAATATATGTAAAGAGCAAACCTTTCATGGGTGTCAAAATGATGGTAATGTTCATTAAAACAGTTTTTAAAGGCTTGTTTTCCCTCTGCCCGCTCTGTTGCTGAATGGAGCTGGTACTTTTACTCCAGGTTAAGACACACTAGGGACGCGGGTGGCGCTGTGGGTAAAAGCCTCAGCGCCTAGGGCTTGCCGATCGAAAGGTCGGCAGTTCGAATCCCCGCGGCGGGGTGCGCTCCCGTTGCTCGGTCCCAGCGCCTGCCAACCTAGCAGTTCAAAAGCACCCCCAGGTGCAAGTAGATAAATAGGGACCGCTTACTAGCGGGAAGGTAAACGGCGTTTCCGTGTGCTGCGCTGGCTCGCCAGATGCAGCTTTGTCACGCTGGCCACGTGACCCGGAAGTGTCTCCGGACAGCACTGGCCCCCGGCCTCTTGAGTGAGATGGGCGCACAACCCCAGAGTCTGTCAAGACTGGCCCGTACGGGCAGGGGTACCTTTACCTTTTTTAAGACACACTAGCTTTCTTTACACCAGTTTCTTGTACTGTACATAGGATTGTTCCCCTAATAATTATTAAATTCTCAGGGGAGAAATCTGACAGTCCTCAAAAGAGATTTAAATGACAAACATGTCAACACTTGTATGCTCTTTAAGTTGCACCATTGTGGCATGACTTTGGTCACAAGAAGAGCTGCATGTAAAACACTTTTCAGTTATTATCACATTTTCTTAATGCTACCTAGCTCAAAGAAAAGAATAAAGTTTAAACATATAGATATTTCTGCTATTGGGGGGCGGGGCGGGGGGAGTATGTGTTTTTGTGACCAATGTAGCAAACTCAGTCAACATATATGTTTCATTGTTTTAAGCTCATCAGATTTCATTCCTAACGTAACATTTCTTGTCAGTTCACCAAAAACTATCAATATAACAAAGGGCCATGAAATGAACTTCTGAGCAAAATTAGAGAAATTCTGAGTCGCCTTGCATGCCACGATTCTGGTTGTTTTGCATGTGTGTAAAACACCTTTTTAGAAAACTGGGAAATTTTCTTTAGAATGCTATAGAACCTGTTAACTATATGTGAAAATCAAAAATGGAATCTGTAGGTTGACACACCCCACCCAGCTCAACAACTCAGCATCTTAGCTCCTCCTACCTTGAGGGTGTTTGTTCATAGCTGAGTTCCTAGGAACACAGAATGCTGTCTTTTGTGACTTAAAGGGTCAGTGTTCACAAACACCTCGTCTCTGCAACTGGTTCACCGGAAACTGATATGCACCCCTCTCCCAATGTAATATAATGTTGGCTTGCAAGCCTCCACATTGTGACATCAGCTGTCCAACAGGGGCCAGGCTGCTCAATTGTTGTCAGGCAGCTGAATGAATAGTAAAAGGGGACAGGGTCAAACATGGGCATAGCCAGGATTTATGGGGGGGGGCAGAAGCAAGCTTATTGCAACGCGGTTGGTTGGTTGGTTGGTCGGTCAGTTAGTTTTTTTATTTATTTACTTGATTTAGGGGGGAAGACGCTCCCTGCCTCCCCACTTGGCTACGCCCATGGGATCAAAATGTAGCAGAGCGAGACCAGAAAGTGTGATAGTTGTGCGTCCTGCTTTCTCCCTTTAGCAGCTTGACAGAAGGCAGCACCATAGAAGTGTATAAAATTATGTGCAGAAAGTGGACAGGGAAAAGTTCCGCTCTCTCTCTAGTATGAGATCCACACCACACATTTAAAGCACACCCAGTGCACATTTAAAGCCCACGACGGTTCCCCCAAAGAATCATGGGAACTGTAGCTGAAAACGCATTTGCTGCGACTAAGCGTGAAAGAATGGTTTTCCCCAGTGGGAAAGAGCCACAGTGAGCACATCCAGTTCTTGAAAACTCCTCCAGTCGGTGATGCCTTGCTTAATGGCGGTAGTTGCGATTATCGCAACGCTCCCGTTTCTTTGTAGGACTCGCCTGCTAAAAGGCGTGCTGGTTTTATCAGTGTCAATGTCCATGCCCTTTGCCGGTTCTACTATGTGAGTTGTGTTTCTGGTCATCCGGTAGGAAGGAAACCCCTCATTTTAGTAATGTCTGAACATCTCTTGAGAAAGGAGCAGATACACAGACAAAAAGGTGTGAGAGAGAGTAGGACGTCTTTTACAACAGATGGGGAACTTGTGGTGGGAGAAGCCAACAAATCCAATTCGTGTGCAAACAAGAGGATGACCTGATGACAATGATGATGATGATAGTAATAATAATAATTAAAGCTTTATTAGAAACCAACCCACAGAAATAGACCCTGAGGCCGCCGGAGACCCTCACCCTTGGGTGAGACAGACAAACAAGGAACAGCAACCCTGAGAAACTTAACAGTGAGCTGTGTGTCCCGGCCGGCCCTAGCATCACTCCAAAACTGCAGCCAGGATCTGATCAGCTCAATAGCACCGGGAAACAATCCAATCAATATTCCGCTTCCAGATCAAAGGCAGCACAGCAGGGAGAGGGCTCCCCCTTCAGGCCTCTCTGAGTAGTGCTGCCTCACAGCCTTCAACAAATCCATGCCTGTAGTTCAAGATTTCCCGTGTCTTCTCCTCATGTCTCAACCCGTAGAATCAAAAGTGCATCAAAGAATCACACATGAAAGGAGGACGGGATGGTGGTGGTGGTTGTAGCTCCAATGTCCTTGGATGCTGCTCCTTTTCCAGATAAACCCAGGAGTCCTGGTTCTTGGCCTTGTGCGCTCTAACTCACCATATCTGCTTCGTTTATTCCCAACTGGTAACAGAGGCCTCTTCCCTTCTACATGACCCAGGTAGCTGCATTCTGGCTCCCAACCATCTGGCCACTAAGAGGGAAGTTGCTGGTGCTGTATAACCCAGGGAGGCATGAACATAGCAGGATTCGACAGGGGCTTAGTCTGTATCAGAGCAGGTTGACTTACTGCAAAGCAGCACAGTGCTCCAGTTCCTTAGCAGTGGAAGTGCTTATTTAGAAAGGGGTTGGGGGCAAGGAACCACCCGTTGCAGATCCCCTCAATGTGCAGATTCACAAAAAACAGATCCTTGCATCCAGATGGCTTCTGCTATAATCCTCGGCCTGAGAACATTGCAAAAAGTCATTGCCCCGACCCTCAGACACCAGAGGGTTAAACACGTGGGGAAAGAGGGCAGGAGAGTGAGATGGGAAGCCCACAACCACCAGCGTCTTATCTGTCCACGGTGCAATTCCCTCCTAGGCTGGAGCTGTGCCACACCACCCTGAAGTAGTGACTGTGCCCATCACCAGAGCCTCAGGCCTGCACCTGCCAGACAATGAGGTGGCTTCGCTCGGCTCGGCGTAAGCGTGGGTTCGGGAGGAGCAGGTCGCCGTAGCGGTCGTCAGTGTCATCGCCTGGGTAAGGAGGAAAAAAACAGAGGGCCAAAAGGAATCAGAGAAGACATTGTACCTGGTGCTGGGATAATAGGGCTGGATGCCCGTATCCTGTTCCCATGTCATTTCCTCCCACCTGTAAAGTGAGATGCTTACCTATCCGGAAGTTGATATACCCCTCCCCTCCACTTAGCACCAAGCTGCATGGTTTGCTTGATGCCTCTTGGCCGTGCGATTCCTTGGTGCTCTCAGAAGAGGATGGGTTCATACACCCTAAAGTAAGAAAAAACAGACAGAGCTGAAGTTTGCATTTATACATCCACCATTCTCCTCTTGTGGACAGCGATAGTCTGGCTACAGTGATCCTTGCTCCAGTAACATCCCATTTGGACTACTATAAGTTCCTTGGGGCGAGGACTTGTCCTCTAGTATTCTACTAACTGCACATCATCAGCATTATCTAAAGAATGGTGGCAACAGCAGCAGCAGCTTTGGATTCCATGCTCTTAAGTTATTTTAAGCCACTGAATTCTCTTTCCCCCAAAAAACCAAGGAATGAGGATTGATTCCTCCGTGCTGGTTACCTGGGACTGAGACAAAGAAGCGAACAGCATCACGGTGCGCGTGGTAGCTGATCTGGGCTTGCTCCAGAGCACAGTAAGGGATGCCAGTGGGAGAAGACATTTCCGAGCTCCCAGCAAATTCTATGAGAAACCAAGAGAGAAAATTCACAGAAATAGCCACCAGGGAGCTCTGCTATGTATACACTTGCAGCTGCACTCACTCTCCCTCTCCCTCTCTCTCTCTCTCTCTCTCTCACACACACACACACACACAGGTGCTCACCTGAGATGAAGGGCAGGGAAATGATGGTGCCGCCAGAGGTGCCAACCCACAGCCGTTTCCCAAAAGCGCCAAGTGCTGAGATGTTCATGGCTAAACTAAGACTGTTCGGCCCTGGAGAGTGAGGAGGAAAAAGAGGAGGAATTTTCCATTAAACAGGCAAGAGATTCCAAAACTAGGGTACCCAGATCCTAGAATCATATCAGAGAATCGCAGAATTGGAAGGGACCCCAAGGGTCATCTAGTCCAACCCCCTGCACTGCAGGCATCCTAACTAAAGCAGATGGCCATCCGATCTCCCATGAAGGAGATCCCAGCTGCCCCATTTGGTGAGCCATTGAACTGCAAGTGGCAGCTTCACAGTGAGGCTCCCCCAAAGCCCAGGGCTGGCCATTGGCTCCTCCCAGGCAGGAAGAAGCATGTGAGGCCTTCCTGTTCCAAGGTCTGCCTGCACTCTGGCCTGTTTCTGTATCCTTGGTTATTCTTTGACGCTGACTTCTGGCTTGCTTTTGTCACTTGCACACAACTACTGTGGTGGGAGTGCACTGGAACCGGAGTAAATGGTAAAATAGACACAGCCTTCCTCTTTGGTCCCCCTTGGGACTAATGGCTGGTTCCCAGCTCCTGACTCACCTCAGACTACTGTCCAGGACCCAGCCCAGATACTGATGCACAGGAGGAAGCAGCAGGATGCCCCTCTCAGGCCCGAGAGCCCTCTATTAAAAGCTTCCTGCCCTCAGAAAACCCTCCTGTCCTGGATGTTCTCCCTGTAGCCTGCTTCTTTGCTCTTCCTTGCCAAGGCTTGTTTGTGGCTAATCCAACAGCTTAGCCTTGCCAACTCCTTCCTGGATCCTGCACTGTCCCCCATTCTGCTCAGAGTCCCACCCAAAGCCCCCAAGTCATGGCGGCCATTGACACTCACCAAGCATGCGGCTGACGTAGGGCCCCAGCTCCACTTCCTGCAGCGGCTGGCCAGTCTCAGCATGGAGGAGGCGCAGGGTGGACTCCAGTCGAACCGAGACCCAGATGCCGTTGCCGGCGGCTGCCATGTGCCGCACTTGGCTTTCAGGGTGTGAAGTCACCTCAAAGTACCTCTGGGGGGAGGAGGAGGAGAAAGTGGGTTGCAACAGGCAGCCTAGATTCAAAACCCTGTCCCCAGACCCACATCCACAACATTAAATCTAGATCTTGGATCTCAACATTTCTCCAAGTTGTGCCAGCTAGCAGTTGTTCCTCGGGATCTACCCATTTCAATAGGAATGGCCAAAATTCCAGACTTTTGTAATGCATTGGTACTTTTGCCTGACAGGCTTGTTCTAATTAATTTCACAGTTTTATCTGTCTTATGTTTCAATTCTTTGTTCAGTTTCTTTTTCCCCACTCTGTAGAGTTTATATGTTTTTGCTTCTTGCATTTGTCCTAAAACCCAATAAAAACAATTAAAAAAAAAGAGAACAGCCAAAATGAATTCACTGGCTAGTTCTTGTAGCAATACCGTTCTAACACTGATACACAGAATGATCCTGGCAATTTCAAACTACCGTTTTTACACCATAAAACCAGCCATGCAAGTCTCTGTGGGTTTCAGCCACCGCCTCAAGCTGCAATTAGGGGCACACTCACCTGGATGCGAGCAGTGCGAGGATCCAGCACATAGACTCTGTTCCCATATCCACACCACAGCCGGTCAAGCACGGGGATGGCACAACGAATGGAGCGCCGTGGCCGCCCCAAGTCAAGCAGGCGTGGGGAGCGCAGGTCCCAGTTCCGGGCTGAGGAAGACAGGGATTAGGTGAAACCGAGGACCTGAGCTGTGGGGAAGGCAGGGCAGGGCAGGGAGGAATTTAAAGGAGCAGGACGTACCTGTGTCTCGGTGGAAAATGGCCAGAGATCCGTCCCCTAGAGCAGCTGCTACACGGCCCTGGGTGTGGCTGAGACAAAAACAGCAGAGTAAGGCCCCATCTGCACTGCACTGCATCATACCGCTTTAAACAGACATGGCTTCCCCCAAAGAATCTTGGGAAGTGTAGTTTGTTGAGGATGCTGAGAGTTGTTAGGAGACGGCCTATTCCCCTCACAGACCTTCACAGTTCCCAGAGTGGTTGAACAGTCAGTCCCTCTTCCCAGGGAACCCTGGGAACTATAGCTTCCTCTCAGCACCCTTAAGCTCAGGGGTTTTTGGGGGGGGGAACCATGGCTGCTTACAGCGATGTGACATTGCTTTAGCATAGACGGGGGCCTAAAACAGTAGGAAAGTTGCAACAGCACCAGCATGGGAAGGCAGGCGACATCCACGAGGGGTAGGCAGTGGGGCTCTGCAGCTTTCAGAGAGAGTGATGGAAATCCGCATACTCACACAATACAGTGGACGGCATCCTTCAGCTGCACTTTGCCCTGGCAGCGGCGCCAGTCAGTCTCAGCAGAGTGAATATAGATGCTGCGGGGGGGGGGGGGATGCAGTCAGCCTCCAAAGGTGACACCACCTGAGCCCTCCTGATGACCAGCCCAACCCCCAGCACAGCTCCAGGCCTGCTCCCCCATCCCTCCCTTGAAAGACCTACATTGGCTCCCAGTACGTTTCCGAGCACAATTCAAAGTGTTGGTGTTGACCTTTAAAGCCCTAAACGGCCTCGGTCCAGTATACCTGAAGGAGCGTCTCCACCCCCATCATTCTGCCCGGACGCTGAGGTCCAGTGCCAAGGGCCTTCTGGTGGTTCCCTCACTGCGAGAAGCAAAACTACAGGGAACCAGGCAGAGGGCCTTCTCGGTAGTGGCGCCTGCCCTGTGGAACACCCTTCCAGCAGATGTCAAAGAGATAAAACAACTACCTGACATTTAGAAAACATCTGAAGGCAGCCCCGTTCAGGGAAGTTTTTAATGTGTGACATTTTGATGTATTTTTAATCTTTGTTGGAAGCCGCCCAGAGTGGCTGGGGGAACCCAGCCAGATGGGCAGGGTACAAATAAATAAATTATTATTATTATTATTATTATTATTATTATTATTATTATTATTATTATTACTATTATTAACAACTGTTCTCATCAGCCACCAGTATTTCGGTTCCGGCTGTCACATCTCCTGAGGATGCTGGGCATGCTCAGTGTAAGTAAACCTGGCAGAAGCCCATGGGATTGTCAAATATGGCAGCCAAAGCGATGGTGGCAGCAGCAGCAGCAGCAACAAAAGGGCAGGATGCTGGTCCTGGTGGTTGGAGTTGGTGGGAGCAGGAAGAGGCAGAGTTTGGCCAGAGAAGCTCGACGAATCTGTTGGCAATTCATTCAGGAATGGGGGTTTACCCCCACCTCCCATTTCTTCCCCGTTCAACCCTGCTGGGTGTCAATTACCAGCCCTCCTGGGTGCCAAACCACACGGTGGGCTCTGTGCCAACTGCCTCCATCTCCAGCACTTCATCCTCGCTGTCGGATCCAGGCGCCAGGGGGTCTTCGAGGATCTCTGGCTCTCGCTCGGGACTCTCGCTACCAGGCACAGCGAGGCCTATGGAGGAGGAACAGAGAAGGCAAAGTGGCCTTCCTCAGGGAGCACAGAAACAGCTTAGGAATCCTACAAGGCACGGCCAGGGAGAACCTTTTCGGCACAGCAGGTGAAATCTTTATCTAGCTGCACATAGGCCTATCAACCTGCCAATCATCTGGAGTGATAATGAGGAGTCCTGCCCAGCTTTCAAAGTTGGCCTGTAGGATTGTGGGGAGATACTAACCAATGAAGCTGAACCAAGCAGGACTGAAGTCTCCACTCATCAGGTGTTGAGTGAGAGGTTGCTTAAACCCTGGTATCCCTGATCCCTTTGGGGAACCGTTGGGTGCAGACAATACAGGATTGAGCCCTGCCCACACCCATCAGCTGATGTCGCCCACCCATCGTAGTGATATCAGTTGATTGAGAGATGGATGTGGTTTTGGAAAAATGGCATCGTGAGCCAAATGGGATCCCCTGGAAGGGCAGGTTTGCCGCCACCAGGCCAAAGTTTTCCCACCCATGCTATAAAATCTCAATGGACACACAACTTCAGTCCAAAATCTATGGTGCTTGCAGTCTAAAATATGTATAGTTGGGAAAGTTTTGTGTACTTGGAAGCTTGGCTACAGCTAGGAATAATAGGATGAAGTCAAGGGCCAAGTGGAAAAGGTGTGTTTTTGAGATGCGGTAGAAGGAAGAAAGAGAGGTGGCACCAGGTGCAAATCTCAAGGAGGGAGCTCCACATGTAGGAGCAGCAGGAGAGGCAGAGAGTCAATGCCAGGGCTGGGTTGCGAGGGTATCAGGAGCCATGAAACAAGACAGCAATGAGGACCAGAAGGCAGAACCAAAGCACAGGACTAAAGAACAAGCCAATCAGCCTAAGAGCCTAAGTGTGCATGTGTGTGTATTAAGAGACAGTATAAAATGATAGATTCTCCTTCCTTGCACTGACCAGGTACGCATGCGATGGAGAGGACGTGAACTCCAGGCAGCACAAAATGTTCCAGGAGCTGGTTTGGGTTCTGGGCATCAAACAGAGTCACTTCGCTTGCAGAGTGGGTCCCTGAGGCCACCCACAGCCGAGAGCAGTGGTGAGAGGCGCCCTGGAAGAGAAAGAAGCAGAGGGATCAGCAAGACATTGTGGGCCTCGACCAGCCTCCCTCCCTTTTATGCTGCCGTGTGCGCGCACACACACACACGCCCTTGACAATCCCTAAACTTCAGCCTTTGTACCCATTTTGTCCCTTCAGCTGACAAACGCACACATGCCTAGGCTTTCCAGCCAGCCAGGCAAGGACATTTACACAACCTGGGGAAGTGTTTTCTCCTTCCACCCCACTCCCCTCCCACCCTGTGTTCAAGTTCTCCATGCACGGCAGCAGGTTAAGCATGTCAGTAGGCAAGGAATGTTTCTGGACTTAAATCTGAAGGGGCATCTTAGAACGGATGAGTTAAGAACCCCAAACTGCAACCACGGCTTTTTTGCCAATATATAAATTACAAAAACAGAACAAAACATGCCGCTGAAGTGTCTTACAATGTTATGTGTGTGTGATTATAACAACAATGAAAACGTGAAATAAATTGAAAACGGCATCAGAACAAAAACAAAATGCTGAGAAAAGTCAGAGGAAAAACCACTAACTTATTGAAGGGGATACACATCATTTCTCATTGTTGCCAGTGCTGGATATCTATTCTAGTCACTACTTCTTTCTTGCTAATGGTTCCCTGCCCCTCTAAATGCATTAATGCAATAATCCCAGCCCATTATCATCAACTTGCTGCTATAAAAATGTGCCTGTTTAGTATATATTTAAGCTCCAATGATCACTGATTGTAATTCTTGAATAGCAATCTATATACTTGCCACTTAACACATCTGATGAAGTGGCCTCGAGTCCACAAAAGCTCATGTCATAATATATTTGTTAGTCTTTAAAGTGCTGAAAGACTCTTGCTGCAGCCCAAGAGGCTCAGTGGTTTAGACCACAGCACCACCCGCGCCCCGCTCTCTGAACTGAAGGTCAGCCTAAATGAGCAGTTTTCACTTCACACACACCAAAACAACACACCGAAAAAACGAAACAAAAAAAAAAACCCTGAAAAGGGAAGCTTAACTGAGAATTCTTAAGCAAGAGTAAAACCAATAATGATGATGGTGATGATGATGATGATGATGGAGATACTTACGGTTTCTGCTTCTTCTTGAGTCTCAGCGCCAACTGATGCTGCAGCACACCAGAGCTACAATGAGAGAGAGGCAGGCACGACATTGAGATCTGCTGGCCCCTGGTAAATGGAGTCGCTTTCCATACAAGAATGACACCCCACCCTTCCCAATTGCAGCCAGAAACCTTTGCCACAGGAACTGCAAATGTGCCACTTGAATAAGCCTTAAGCTTTTTCTGAGCCCGCCACTGTACTTGCCCACACAGGAACTGCCCAGAGTCTCTGCAGGGCTTGGTCTCCTTCCACTCACCCTTCAGAGGCCCTGATAACTCAGCTGGTGCCAACGCCACTAGATCACGTGAATCGCTCCCAAAGCAGACATAGTCTGTCCTCAGAGGAGGCTGCCTGCTACCTCTCTGGACGAGTCCCTGCTCTGAACTCAGTCACTCTTACTCCTACACCTACACAAACGAACCCCCTTTTAGCACTTTACAGCAGGAAAACCACACCATTTCCCTCAGATTTCAATTCAGTGGTGCAGTGGTTAGAGCGCCACTGGGAGACCAGGGTTCAAATCCCCACTCAACCACATGAAATCCACTGGGTGACCTTGGGCCAGTCACTGTCCCTCAGCCATAAACTACCATGCAGGGTGTCGTAAGGATAAAATGGGGGGGGGCAGGTGGAGAAGCATGTATGTCACCTTCAGCTTCTTGGAAGAAAGGTGGGATACAAATGCAATAATAGTAATAATAACAACAACTCAGGGGGAGGGGGAAAACATCCCTAGCTATTCAGCATTTGGAAACGCACTGCTTTGTTACCTTTGTATTGGGGTCCTTCTGGTCTAGCATCCGTAATTGTGCGAGCACAGGTACGTCGGCGGCCCCTGAAAGGGGATCAGAGCCCTGCAGAGAAAAGGTGGCTGGGTTTTAATGTGTGGAGACTCGCTGCAAGAGTGGCCAGTTCAAAACTAAGGTCAGATCCCATGACTGGGATGGAACAAGGCAAATGTATAGTCTAAAGCACCACGCTGTTGGGTGACTCAATATGGTCGAATTCAGTGGGCCCCACTTCCTAGGTGGAATTTGTTTATTTGCTATATGCCAAAAACGGTTTCTAAGCAGTTCACAACTATGAAAATCAGTGAGTGAATTGAAATACCCAACAACAGATCCATTGGGGGCAGTAAAACATCCTTAATAAAAAATATACAATAAAAACAAATGAACAATCGAAAGCCTAACAATGAAAAAACAGTTCAAGCAATAACATCAGGAGTTCAGTTCTGCGAAATGCTTGCCCAAACAGGTGTGTCTTCAGGAGCCGGCAGGATGCCAATGCTGATGGCGATTGTTATTTTTTAATTTTAGACCATCATTCCATTGTCAAATGCAGGAAAATTGTTGCACACTGTCTGGTATGATAAAACACACACACACACACACACACACACACACACACACAAAATGCTGCATCTACATTTTTCCTGCCCTGGTTTAAAAAGACAGTACTTGAGGACCTACCCCTTGACATGGGATTTCCATAGGGTCAGGTACCTGGATATGAGACCTTGCTGCCCCTGCTAGAATGCTCACCTGGAGCGCAGGCGGCTGGCTCCACCCATGGATCTGCGCCCGACCATGCTCCTGCCAGATGTGGGAGCGGATCTCACGGTACAGCTCTCTCCGCTTCTGCTGAGGGGAGGCGTCGGCTCTGCAGATATAAAAGCCAGATATAGTAGGGGGCAGCAGAGAGCTTCCAGTGACAACCCTGCGTCCAGTTGCAACCAGGGGAAATGCTTTGCTTTCAGCTGGATTTACCCAGATGGGCCTGCATGCAATTGTTGCCCAAAGCGGACTTTTGCCAGAGACCCTGAAGAGCTGCTGTTGGCCTCTGCTGGGCTGGATGGATCCAATTAGCAGCCCAACTCCGTATAAAGCCTCTTCATTTTATGTAGAGTGAGTCCACAAGGCACACTCTGAAAGCAGAAGGCTCCAGGGTTCAAAGCCAGGGAGTGTCCAGTTAATAAAAGGGATCTAAGGTATTGGGGTTGGGCAACAACTCTGCCCAAGACACTGGAGGGTTGTTGCCAGTCAGACCAGACCGGGCATGAGAACCCTTTGGCCCTGCTGAACTACAACTCCCATCAGGCCCGGTATGTATGGCCGATGGCCAGGGGTGATAATTGCTGTAGTTTGGCAACATCTGGAGGGCCAAAGGGTTCCCCATGCTCGGAGGAGACAATACTGAGCTGGATGAACCAATGGTCTAACCTGGCATCAGGGAGCTGCTGTCAGCCTGTGCTGGACTAGATGGATCCACTAGCAGCCCAACTCCATATAAAGGGAGCAGCAGGTCCCCAAGAGGTGCCGATGATGGGATTGCAAAATCAGCTTATACACGCTCTGGCTCCTACCTCTCCCCCTGCCAAGCAACTGCCACACAACTTACTCATTCGGTGAGGTAGCTCGTGGGATGTATCTCAAGGCTGGAGACAGCTGTCCTCCATTCTTTCCCAATTCATTGCGGCCGCTGGGGCTGGACCGGGCCCTCCCGGGTGGCAGCGGGGATGCAGGAGCCCTCTCTGGGGAGTCCGAGGGGCTAAATAAGCGATCGAAACTGCAGGAGGAAAATACAATGGGTTCAGGGGAAATGAGGAGGGAATGGCAGGGGGCACAAATCAAAATTCGACAGAAAAAAGTGGGGTTTGCACCAAGAATGATGGAACTGTGATCTGTCGGAACCAGACTAAAAGGAGCCCACAGATTGTTTGCCTGCTGAGTTCTGTTTGACTTTGGTCCAAGGCAGAGCCATTGCTATGAATGGCAAGGAAGGTTCTCTCACAAGGACATAAGGAGAGCTCTGATGGCTCAGGTCAGTGGCGCATCTAGTTCAGCACCCTATTCTCACAATGGCCGATTGGATGTCTGTGGGAAGCCTGCAAGCAGGAGTTAAGTGCAACAGCCACTCTCCCCACTAGTGATTCACAGCAACTGCCTCTGACAGTGGAGACAGAACACAGCCATTATGCCCACCATCTCCACTAGACTCCACTAGGCATTGCTCCCTTGCACGCTTTCAAACTAATCCATGCAGCCATAACGTCTTGCTAAGAGAGAAAGAAATTTCTCAGGATGCTAAGTTGTATGCCCAATATCAAATGTCAAGGCAGAGTATGCACAGCGGCAGATCTTAGATGGCACCTACATTTTCCAGAAAGAGGATTTTTTCATCTGAACAGCTTGTTCCTCCCGCGAAGCCCTGAGAAGAGAGAAACAATTGCTTTAAGACTGCCACCATGGAGTGACTCCCTCCATTAGCCATTAGTTCAAGGCTGGAACAAGGGGAAACAAGCAACCCAAACCATTTGCACAACTGGCTCCCTGGTCCTCTGTTAATACTCAGGGCAGCACTTCATTTGCTACACCTAAGAGCCATTTGCCTCCTCTTGTCTGAGTGACAAACTTGTGTTTTGAGTCTATAATCCTCTGTTTAAATCTCACCTCTCCAGAGTGTATTTCTATAAGCCAATTCTCTCCCGGCCTCCATTCTGACCCACTTCCCTCCCGCCCAGTTTGTACTATGGGAAAATAATTATTGGCTGGGCAGCCACAGTGTGATTGATTGCCCTGAGCAGCTTCAAGGATTGGGATAAGGAACCTCTGGCCCTCTGAACACAGGTGGATCACAGCTCCCATCATCTCTGAGCTTCGGGCTGATGGGAGCTAGAGTTCAACAACATATGGAGGAACACAGATTCCCCATTTCTGGTTCCTAGGGAATGGAATGAGCAGGTTGCCTGCAGTTGCTGGTTTCTCCAGAGAGGGAAAAGACTCTGCTAGCAGTAGTGGGGTGGGGCTTAATGAATAATATGGAGTCATTCGTGATGCTGCTGAGTCTCCTAATTCCCTGTCTCACAACACAAGACTCCGTGACTCGTCCTCACCTCCAGGGCTTTTTTTTAAAGCTGGAACTCACAGGAACTGAGTTCCGGCACCTCTCAGGTGGGTGCCATTGCCATTCTAAGAGAACAAGGCAGGCGTTCATGGTGAGTTCCGGCACCTCTTTTTCTAGATAAATAGCCACTGCTCACCTCCAACATTAAGGGGACCCCTCAGAAGTACTAATTCCCTTCCTTATTGCTGCACTGGCAGCAGGGAGAGAGTCCTCTCCCTTCTTCTCCAGTCCTAACTCCCTGGCAATTGGAGTGCTGTTTGGGAAGGATCGCTAGAAAGTAAGAGAAGCCTCTTGCTGCTCTGCTGCTAGAGCGAAGCAAGGAGGGTTGGGGGAGGGATTTTGACTTCCCATCATGCCCCTGGTACCACATGGCAAGCTCCAACAAGGCTCACAGTCACTGAGCTGCTTTCAGACAATTCAAAAAGAAAATGGCTCAGCAGGGCAAATCCAACCTCATGTCAAACTGAGGGAGAGGGCGGCCTGCCACACAGAGTCTTAAGTTAGGTTATGGGGTCACAGACCCATCTGCCTCCCCCCCAGCCCCAAGGCATAAACCTCGGCGCCACTGACCTTAGCAGCTCTGTGCGCCGAACAGCTTCCTGCAGCTCCATCAGCCTCTCCTTATAGAGGTTGCGCTCCATCACCACACGAGCCATCTCGGCCCGGGTGAACCGCTGAGGCCGGGACAGGCCTCCTTCAGCCTGCTGAGGAAGAGGGCAGATCCTGCCTCAAACGCACACAAATGCCACTCCCAGAATCCTGACCCCCACCCCTGTCTAGTTACAGCCCTGTAGAAGACCCTTTCTGCACACCCATCCCTCAGCCTTCAAGGGAAAGCTGGCCTCTCCAGCCTGTCACAACATCCTTGCAGAAGATGCTCTGGTTACCTCCCCATCCTCACTAGAACGTCTTGATTCCTGAAACTCCTGCCGTATCCTGGAAAGAGAAAGACGAACAACTGAAATTTGGGCTCACTCGTTTATTTTTTTAAAAAATTAATTGTAGGCCAGTGTCTCAGGGAGAGTGGATTCCATCTTCCCTTCTAATAAATGGTCACGTTGTTGGTCACACATAAGAACATAGGAAAAGCCTGCTGGTTCAGGCTAATGGCCCATCTAGTCCCATATCCTGTTCTCGCAGTGGCCAACTGGGTGGGAAGCTGAGCACAACAGCAATCTCCACGCACACATGGCAGTTTCCAGAAACTGGCATTCAAAAGTAGAGGCAGAGCATAGCCATTGTGGCTAGTGGTTGTTGATAGCCTTATCCTCTGACCAGCTCAATACACGCACAGCAGAACACACACACACGGGTTTCTTTTAATGCATGCCAAACAATGGTTAGGCTGCAGTAACCAACGCCTGATAGGTACACAATGATTTGTTAAGTAATTCCAATAAAGCCCTAGCACTTCTTGAGCTAAGCTGCACTTGTTCGGAGGAATAGGCTAGTGTAGAAAGATTCGGGTTTGTCTGAAGTGCTTAGGCAGAAACACACAAATCCATAGACTACCTTTATTATAGTATTATTAATCATTATTAGCAGTATTGCTATAGTTACTGTTGCTGTCAGATACGGGGCTCTTATTATTGTAGCTTACTGTAGCTACTTAACAGCAGTGTTTCTTCAGCTGTTTTTGAACTACAGTTCCCATCATCCCTGGTCCTGCTAGCTAGAGATGATGGGAGTTGTAGTCCAACAAGAGCTGAAGACCCAAGTTTGGGAACACACTGCTTCACAGCATCAGGATAAAGACACTACAATATAATCCTAAGAATGCAAACAACACAGGCTGTTAAAGCATATAACACAACCTGCATGAAAAAAAACAGGACAGTATCTTCCTACATTAGCTGTGTATTGGCATAGAGCATTTATAATGCATCTCTTAGGATTTGGCTCTCATAAGGCAGCATATAATGATTTCATAAATGATGCTTTTTGTTAGAGACCACGAGTGAGCGGCAATGTCCAGAGTGCTGGGTAGGATCAGGATCAGATCCCCACTCAGCCACAAAGTTTACTGGTTGAAATTGGACCAAAAATTCTCTCTCTCTCTCTCTCTCTCTCTCTCTCTCACACACACACACACACACACACGATCTAACCTACCTCACAAGGTTGTTGTGAGGATAAAGGGCATGTGACCTCTGAAAGAATGGCTAACTCAAAACACATTGGGATTTGTCTACATTGCCTTGGTGACTTTGCTGGGGAGGAGTTGTTCCTGTGTACTACTAATTTTGAGGTGCCCCTCTCCCTTTTTTTGCCAGGCAGTTCGTGGAATCAAGATGTCTGCCAAACACCAGGGAGGGCAGTTTACAAGGCCTTACCTGATCAGTTCCAGCTCAGCCTCCTTCAGCTGGGCTTGGCAGCGGCTCAGGGCCCCCAGTGTTCCTTCACGCTCCGCCCGTAGCGACTCGCGCTCTTCGGTGAGCTCCTCTACACGGGCGATAAGATGGCGGCGGGCTGTATCCAGAGCAGTTCTAGAGGTGGGACCATGAGGAACAGCAAGACTTCAGCCTAGGAGTGGCTGCGATGGCCCAGGAAGAGGTGGAGGGCCTGATCCAAGAAAGCAGACGGGCCAGCGGAGAGAAGCTGGCCAGGCCTCGGCCCATTTCTCTGCCTGCCAAGCACCCTTGACAAGGACCTTCCTTTCTAAGAAGCTCCAGCTCCCATCAAGATATAAAGACCCATAAACAATTCAGGACCAGGTAAATTGAGAGGTGGCTTTATCCCTTATACACCCAAGCAGGGTCACTACATTCTGCAGGACAGTTTCTCCCTCAGCTTCCAAAGAGATCAGAAGCTGCCCCTATCTGTACTTTCTGGAACCAAATGAATGCATTTTTTTCATTTTCTTTTGGCAAGCTTTTCCAGTTGGATGCAAAATGTCTCTGCCTTAGGTTTCAGAAACAATACAGTGGTGCCTCGCAAGACGAAATTAATTCGTTCTGCGAGTTTTTTCGTCTTGCGAATTTTTCGTCTTCCGAAGCACGGTTTTGGAAAAGCTTCAAAAATCATCAAAGTCTTCAAAAACCTCAAAAAAGGCTACCACACCGCATGCTATGAGTTGCTCCTCAAAGTCAAGTCGCAACTGCACCCTGGGTATTAACGGTTTTAAGAAAAAGGAAACAAACTTGCAAGACGTTTTCGTCTTGCGAAGCAAGCCCATAGGGAAATTCGTCTTGCGAAGCAACTCAAAAAACGCAAAACTCTTTCGTCTTGCGAGGCATTCGTCTTGCGAGGCATTCGTCTTGCGAGGTACCACTGTACAAAACCAACACCTACCTTGAGTTCTTGGGAGCATTTTTGTACTGTTTTTATAATTATTTTCAGCTGGTTTGTAAGGCGCCTTGGCACACACGTAAAAGGAGATTCATAGTTCAAAACAAACAAACAAACAAACAAACAAACGTTATCGCTTTAGGCTGGCCACTCTTACCGTGCCTCCTGTAGCTGAGTGTTTTCTGCCACTAGGGTTTCCAAGGCATCCCCTGAAAAGATGGTCAAGCATGGACACTGCTGAGCTACTAGGACACAGGTAGAAACCTTAACTCCCCACAGGCTGGGGAACTATGGGAGGCAGGTTTTCTGGATTAAAATTGGGGTGGGGGAGCTAGGACTCCTGGGTTCTCCAGGAAAGGAATAAGGTCCCAGCAGGACAAGGAGGGGGAAGGTGGGAGTTTCACCTACCCTGCAAATCGGCACCGCCGTCCATATCGCTGAGGAGTTCAGGACTGAGGCCCGAGACCTCGGCGAAAAGGGACACCGTGTTGCGCTCGAGGGTGTTACTCAGGGGGCTGAGAGACAGACAGACAGACAAATAGACAGACAGGAGTACCCACCCGCTCCTAACCTGGCAACAACACACACCCACATCTGACGTCACAGTAGACAGAAACCAAGGGCGGGCCTTTTTTTTCTAAGAAGACAATGAACACAGAGAAGTCCTCCTCGGCCTCGTTTGCCATCCTACGGCTGCAGTGCTTTCAAAACGGCAGTTTCAAAGGTGGGTATGAGGAGAAAAAGAAGTTGGCTATCTGGCTGGGAAACTCAGGGATGTGTGGCCCTTCAAAGCCGTGAGCAGGATAACTAGAAGAGCTACCTCTCCCGAAATTAAAACACCTGTGGGGAAGCGGGGAGGGAATAGATGGGACAATGGAGGATTAGAGGACAGTGTGGGCATGCTGTGGTCGGAGGACACAGGAAGGAAGAGCCTAGCTGTTTCTTCACTCCAGTGAAGGAGCATCCATGCTCAAGCACAGACCACTCAGGCGCTGCCCACATGCGCTTTCTGCTCAGAGGCTTAATAAGAAGACACATCCCTCTTACCTGCTTGGCTGCTTTTGGTCCAGTCCCAGTTCTGGAGTGGAGCTCAGGAGATCGTCCAACTCCAAGCGCCTCTGCAGAGTAGGAGAGGCTGACAAGAGAAGAATGTTGTGGGGGCGCAAACGCAAAGCACATTATTTTTTCTAGATTATTATCCCGTGTTTGTTAACCTCTACACAGTCCTTTCCCTACTGAAAATAATCTAGAAAAGCATTGCTCCTTTGGGCAAGGGCCTAGCTGGCATTTTGTTGTCTGCATGCAGAGAAAATTCCTGTTGTTATAAGAATAAAGAGGGTCAGGCAGGTCCCTGCCCCACAAGAGCTTAAAATCTAAATGTTGGCAGTGGTGGAAACGACTGGCAGGGGTGTGGAAGAGGCACAGCTTACAAGGAACAGAAGCCCAGTAAAAATGCAAAATATATAGCACAACTCAAGAACCGGCACGCTACTAACTCATTAGGCTGCAGCAGAGAACCTGAGGCCCAGAGGCCAAATATGGCCCACTAGTCCTCTTCACTTGGCCCTCGGGGCTTTCCCTTGGCCACACCCATACCCCCTCACTGCCCCCCCATACCCTCCTCAAGTTATTTTCCCTGGCCTAGCCACACCAAGACGAAACAGAGGCTCCCCCTTCATACCATCCTGTTCCGGCTGCCCCATTTCTTGCGCCAAGGGGAAATTGTTTCTTTCTGTGTCCCTCTGCGGAGCCTTCTCCGTGCTGGGAAGCTCTCGAAACTCTGCAGGCTTCTGAAGAGACGGGTGGGGAGAACATAAAAGGCCAATCATTCCTGGCTCCTCTTAATGCCTCTGCTTCCCCCCCAGCCTCCCTGTCCACCACTGCTGCTGTTTGCCAAGGGCCAAGGAAGAGTTCAGGGGCTTGAGCCCCACAACACCAAGCCACTTACCCCTGGGGAATGAGGCAACTCAGGAGACCCAGGGTCCGAGGTGCTTGGGAGGAACTTTGGGGGTGCCTGGATTGGTGGGGGCTTCAACCTGAGCAGGGGGGGAGGGAGAGAAAAATATCTATTTTTATTTCCTTGTTACTGTACAAGGCTGGCTGATTGGCTGCCCTGGAAAACCTCCTGCATCTTGCCTTCGACCCCTTCAACGTCTCCTTCTCTCAAAAGGATTCTTACTCACCTTTCTTCCCTGCCTCAACATGCAATAAAGCCCTCAACGTGGCTGCCAAAGCCAATCACCAACATTACACAGAAATTAAAAAGAAATCACTACAAAAAATGTCGGAAGATAGCCAGTAGAGTTCCATTGTTGTTAAAAGCTTGAAATGTGGGAATCTCGGAAGCTGCCTTGCAGAGCCAGAGCAGTCCATTGGTCCTTGCTTAGAAGTGCCTGCACTGACTGGCAGCAGCTCTCAGACAGGACTCTTCTTCCGTGGCATACCTAAAAATGCCGGGAACGGAACCCAGTACCTCCTCAATCAAAAATGTGCGTTTCACCAAGGGCTATGGCCAACATTCAAAAAGTATCATGTAGTACTATATTTGAGCCAGGCATTTCTGAGGAGTGAAGGAATTCTGTAACGGGGGCACCACCACTAAAAAGGCCCTCTTCTTCCAAGAAACCCATCAAACCCCTGAATACAATTGGAGAAAGGGTTCATGTTTCCTCGCCCGTGGCCCCACCCCCCACCCCATTTCCTTTTTTTTTTTTTTGCAATTTTATTAATTTCATTATTTATACATTCTGTCCATATTTCAACACTTCTTATACATTTTGAACTTCCTTCAGCGTCATTGACATTCATTCGTATTTATATCTTTAAATCACATTCCATCTTTTCATATTGCCATTCGTTCCTCCCTTTGTATACTATTTCTATTAAACAATACTTGTTAGTTCTTTACAGTGCCTCTTTAAATCCCACTAGTGTTGTATTTACAAAACATTTGTTCTCCAGATAACCCACAAATTTCCCCCAATCTTCAATGAATTTTTGATCCTTAGCGTATCTTATTTTCCCTGTTAATTTGTCCAGCTTGGCATATTCTAACAATTTTGCTCTCCACTCTGCAACCGTTGGGTTTTCTTCCTGCTTCCACCTTTGGGCTACCACGATTCTGGCGGCCGTTACCGCATACTGGAAGAGTTTACAATCTTTTCTCCTGATGTCCTTTCCAACAATACCTAATAAAAAGGCTTCTGGCTTTTTTACAAAGGTATAACTTAACATCTTTTTCATTTCATTGTAAATTTCGTCCCAGAAGCTTTTAACTTTCTTACACTCCCACCATTGATGATAAAAAGTCCCTTCCTTTAATTTACATTTCCAGCAGTTGTTGTCTACCTTATACATCTTAGCCAATTTTACAGGTGTCAGATACCACCTGTATAGCATCTTCATCACATTTTCTTTAAGTAACATACAAGCCGTAAATTTTATATTCACTTTCCATAACTTTTCCCAGTCCTCCAGTTGCACATTATAACCGAAATCCCTTGCCCATTGTACCATCACTGACTTCACTTCCTCATCTTTCAAGTTCCACTCCAGCAGTATCTTATACATTTTTGAGAGGTTTTTATATTCGTTGTTTATTATCTCTTTTTGAAATATCGATTCTTTTTCCTGATAGCCCCTTTCCTTCACCTCTTTTTTAAACATCTCATTTATCTGGAAGTAGTGCAACCAATCATATGTAAATATTTTAACCTGATCGTATGGTTTTACTTTCCACTTCCCTCCTTCATTGATAACCATTTCTCCCACCCCATTTCCACCAGGTTTGCCTTGGAGCAGCTTGTCCTTATCAACCTTTCTTCGCCTTGGGGCAGGGGGAGATTAGATTTGAACCCAGCGCCACCCCAACTAACTATTCTGTCACACGCAGCCCTTGGTGGATTGCCGGCCGGAGTCCCATCCATTCCTGCCTTAATCCAGATGTGGTACTTGCAGTAGGCCCGGCTGTTGCTAGGTAACCAAAAATGACTTCTACCTTTCCTCATGAAATGAGTGAAAACAGTTTGTGGTTTGACAGCTGCTGTGGTAAGGAACAGAAGAAGTTGGAGTGCACAGCAACTGGCCATACAGCACACTCCGCTACCTCAGCAGCTTGGGCAAAAATATCATTATTGGTGGCACCATGCCCCTAGGTGAACCCCTGACACACACAAACCCCGCTGCCACCCCACAGGCCAGCTTCCTCTTCCAAACCTTTTCGTTTCTGTAGTCAGAGATCCAGCTTGACTTGTAGCAGCCAACGCCACCCTTTGCGATTTCAATTCCTTGTAGTTTTGCACAATCTGTAAAAGGCAGAAGACAAAATAAGATTGTGGCCCAGCTTGGCTTAAGAGTGGAGAAAAGAAAAGAGCAAATGAGGAATGGCAGCTGCAGGCTGACGGTACCTTTGTGTGGCTCTGGCTGAGAGTTGAAAGCTCCTTTAGGAGTGAAGATTTTTGTTCTTCCAGACCCGCGACTGTGAAGAGAGAGCAGGGGGGCAGGGAGGCATGGTGGTGTGATTTTGATGTACATACAAGAAACCTAAACCAGCTTTACATTAGTCTTAAGGGCATTTCCAAATGGTGCTAAAAATGCATCTTGTGCGCTATTTGTGTTGTGTACAGCGAAAGCAGGAAAGAGAGCAGGCAGGGCCGGCTCAAGACATTTTGCTGCCTGAGGCGAAGGACAAGATGGCGTCCCCCTCCCAAATCCATGTACTGCAGCCAACTGGACTGGCAGTAGAATCAATAACAGACTAGGGGGCCCAGGAAACTCCATGTGGCAACAGAAGGGAATGGCTGGAGGCTCAAGGGGAATAACCACAGGCTGCTCCTGAGCATCTATAGCCCAAGGCAGTTTCTTCACTCTGCCTAATGGAAGGGCCAGAAAAATCCATCTTTAAATAAAGACAAATTTGCATTGAGCAGATTCTACTCAATGCAAGCTTTGCAGTGGCAAAATAGGCCAAATGAATAATAATAAGAAAAGATTCAAGCCTCATGGGTAAGAATATCCTAATGTCTTAGATTCACACAAAGAACACTGAAGCTGCAATCTGATACTTACCAGAAAATAAGTCCCAATAAATGCAATGTTACCCACATTTTCATTTTGTGAGGGTATGGAGAATTTTGTTAGAGATACACTTTGATGGGGTATACAATTCTTTTTTTCTTTTTTAAAAGGATGAGGGGGAAATAATCCTGTCTGGATGCAAAAAATGTCAGTGTGTGTGTGTGTGTGTGTTTTGGGACCTTATTAACAAGCACTGAGCATAACTTTTTTGTGATGACTTGTGAATAGGTGGGCATAATTAAGCTAAAAGAGAAGCAGCCCTGATAAAGGGGATGCTGGTGGTTGTGGAATAGATCACTGGCAAGGGATATAAAATTAGCTCTTCAGTCAGCCCTGGGTGGTATGTGGTCAGGGTCTAAGAGCATCATTAAATATAACCCAGTCTAGATAATAGCAGGTCACAGAATTAGGTTGCGGACTCTGCAAAGCAACTGAGAGCTGCTGGTTGGAGGGCAAAATCCAACATGAGGTAATTATAACTAAGACCCTTTGAAAGAAATAGAACAGTGTAACCTTATGGGTGTTAGCATGGCAATATGCCCTGTGATGCTGAGGAGAGAAGATGTGGAGAAGGAATTTAACCTTTTCCTCGCCTGCTGCAGTGCTGAGAAAAATCTCTCTTTTGAAGCTGGTATTTGCAAGGGGAGGAAGTCCTCTGTTTGTGTCAATGAGAAATTCCCCTGCCTCCCACCACCAGCAAATCTCAGCTTCAGAACAGGAAATTCCCTTCCCTTCAGTGGTTCTAAAGAAAGGGATACATTCGCTCTCCAAATCTTATCAGACTCCAAGAATTATGAGATTATTGAAACTGACATAATTTGCCATTTTATAAAACCTGCACATTAGAGTCAAAGATGCACCTAAAGTCACATATAGTTTTGTCTCAGCTTTTGCTAAAGCACCTACAAGCCCTGATCCCGTATGTGTTTACTTGGAATCAAGCCCCACTGACCTCAATGGGATTTATTCCCAAGTAACTGTGTGCAGGGCTGCAGCCTAAGACACTCAGATATTGACAGGTAATATCCCTACCTGTGAATTTGTCTAATTCCTTTTTTTTTTTTTTAACCACCTAGGCTGGTGGCTACAGCCTCATTTGGTGGCAGGGAGTTCCATGATTTAATTATGCGTGGTGTGAAATAGTATTTCCTTCTGTCTACCCTACATCTGTTGCCCAGCGGTTTATGTGGAGCATTGCCAATCCTAATATTATGGGAGTGGAAAAAATATAACACCTCCCTCTCTTTTCTCTGCTTCTTGCATAATTTTATAATCCTCCATCATGTCCCACATTGTATTCCCCCCCCCCACATGAAACTAAAGAGAGCCAGACATATATGAGTGTGCGCGCACATAAACATATACTGGAAATAATTGCAATTGTGACTAACAGTTGCCCCATTTTGCAATGAGCCCAAAAGATATACGATGAGGTTGTTCTGCTCCCCGCTGCCTTACACCCCAATCTCAGCAAACTCGATAGACCAGCTTAGCCAGAACTTCCAAAAAGGAGAGTGGGAAAAAGATGGGAGGGTGCAGGATAGGGCATGCCTGTCCGTGGGAGGGGCATGGGTGGGCAGGGAAGCCATCCCGTCTGTGGGAAGATGGGGAAACAGAATTCATCCAAGGCCACACTTCGTCTGGCCTGGCTAACTGGCTTCCTCCTAGACAGAGAGATAATTTCTTAGTGTCCGTATCAAACACAGGTTCTTCAACCAATCTGCAGGGGAGAAGATTCAGCACTTCTGATTTTAAAGGCATAGGATGTGAAGGAACCCGCCTCTCTCACCCTGGTCTGCGTAGCTGCGTGCTTTCCCCTCCAGGGCACGGCTCTGGCCCTCCAGCCGGCTCACAGCCGCTGCATGCGCCTTGCGCTCCTGCTCCATCGCGTCCTCCAGCTCCATAAACCTCTGCAGGAAGAGAACCCCAAGAGTCCAGGAGATCCCAACATCCTCTCCCACCCAGTCCCAGTCCCAGCACTTTCTCCCAAACCCATAGAGGGCTGTGTACAAAATTCCCAGGAACTATAGCTTACCCCTTACAGAGCTACAATTCCCAGCACCCTTAAGAAAGCAGAGTTCCCATTATTCTTTATTGCGGGGTTTGCTTTGAATGTATGGTGTGTATATACAGCCTTGGGTCTCTTTCATCGCTCCTCGGCAACTTCATTGGCCCTGTGGTACCCACTCCAAGTCTCAACAAGCTAAAATGGGCAGTCGAGATCATAGAATTGTAGCGTGGGGAGGGACCCTGAGAATCATCAGACCCCTGCAATGCACCCATTCCTTACACTCAGAATAAAATAGACGGAAGGCGCAAAGATCATTTTCCTTATCAAGAAAGCCTGCAAACTGCTAATACTTTGAAACTTTGCAGAGGCTAAATGGAAAGGTGATGGTAATGTAAAGAAATCTCTTTACAATCTTAACTGATGCACAAAGGATGAATAATTTCCTCCTGTTCCTTCTCCATTAGAGCATGAAAGCTCAGGGGCATCCCCTGAAACTGACGGGCCACAGGCTTAAGAAGAAGCAAAATAAGTACTTCCTGATAGCAACTATAACCAGCCCATGGAATGCCTTGCCACCAGATACTGCAATGGCAGCTCACAGAAACACTGGTAAAAATATATATAGTTTAGATGACTACATGAAGGATGGGGCCCATTGGTACCTACTGCCCGTGATACACAGAAGAACACTTTCAGTTTCATAATACAATTGCCCTTCCATTAGCGGATGCCGGGGATTAGCAACCGGGGACAGAAACTGCCCTCCTCCCCTGCTTGCAACTTGAGCCTAGATTATTACTTTCTATTTCTGTTGACTGGATGTTTCTTGGTTCCATATAACACCAAGACCTCTAGAGAAAAGTACATTCACAAGAGTGGCACCACACAGAGAGAAAATCCCTCTCCGTTGCTGCTAGTTCTGTAGCAAAAGTGCTGTCCGCTAAAAAGCACCAGCCTGGTCAAGCACGATATTGGAGAAACTAATACCAGATTTGCTAAGCATTTAGAAGGGAGGGAATATGACCCCTGCCTTCACTCACCGTGTTTTGGCTCAGATTGGTGTGCCAGCCAAATCTGGAAGTTGCCAACCAGTGTTGCAAAACCTTTGGCCCGAGACTGTCACCCATCTCTGACCTGCGCAGCACACAGCCGAGGCTAAGGCTGCATACACACCATATATTTAAAGCATCTCCCTCCCCCCCACAAAGACTCCTGGGAACTGTAGTTTACCCACCACAGAGCTACAGTTCCCAGTATTCTTAACAAACTACAGTTCCCAGTGTTTGGGGGGGGCTGGAATGTGCATTAAATGTACAGTGGTACCTCAGGTTACATACGCTTCAGGTTACAGACTCCGCTAACCCAGAAATAGTGCTTCAGTTTAAGAACTTTCTTTCAGGATGAGAACAGAAATCGTGCTCTGGCGGCGCGGCGGCAGCAGGAGGCCCCATTAGCTAAAGTGGTGCTTCAGTTTAAGAACGGTTTCAGGTTAAGTACGGACCTCTGGAACGAATTAAGTATTTAACCTGAGGTACCACTGTATGAGGTGTACACAGCCTAAACAAACATTTAAAAATAGCAGTCGTAGCAAAACAAGTAGAAAGAAAGCGATACCAACCTCCTCTGCCCGCTTGCGCCCAGATCGCTCCCGCTCATACTGCTCCAGCAGCCGCAGCCGGTCATCCCGCAAGCGTTCCAGCGCCTGGTCCCGCTCTCGCACTTGCCCACAAGCCCCTTGCAGCGACTCCAGGACAGAAACCAGTTGCGGCAGGAGTCCTGAAACCGCACCAGGCCCATGGGCCCCTACAAGCCGCTCCAGTTCCCCATACAATCCGCCGGCCATCGCAGACACCAGCTCCTCATAAGGAGCAGGGTTGGGGTCTCCAACTCCTCCAAATATCTCCTCAGGGTCATCCATCGTAACCTGCTCTAACCACTGCCCTCTCCAGCCTCCAGACACCCCAGGGGTTTCCTGGCTCCTTGATCCTCCACCTCTAACCCACCAGATCCCACCTTATTAAGCACAAAATCTCTTGCCCCACTTTCGGCTCCCTGATCCCAGAACCCAGAAGTCCAGCCACTGTTCTAAGCTACTACTGGTACTACTCAGCAGTCTCTCTGAGCAACCAGGACCCCTGATTCTTCCTGTCCCTGAATTTTCTACAGAGTACACAGGATTATCTACCCCCCCCCCAATCTATCCACCCAGTTACACCCTAACTCCCTTCCCAGTCCCTTCCAGTACCAGGCACATGAACGCACATACAACCCCCTTGCTATAGCCACTAGGCAGCACTCCCCTTACACCCTGTCTCAACATGCCCATTTCCCTCTGCCAGGACTTTGACTTCCAGGATCTGCGTTCTAACCACTAGGATCCACACTGCCTAGAAACCCAGGAGTCCTGCCTCTCCCTCCCACCCCCGTACCGAGGGATCGCGGGGGGATCTCTCGATTCCTGCCTCGAGTTTTGGGCAACCCTTCCTTACGCTTCCCCACCCCGCGCACAGGGAACCTCGAATCCTCCGCCCGGCGCCGTCGACAGCTGCGATCCTAACTTCATGTCACTTTCCAAGAGGGAAGAGAGGCGGAGCCAGAAGCCCGTCAGGCGACCAATGGAAACGCGGCTTTCGTGAGGGAAGCCCCGCGGGCGGCCAATAGCGCGACGAGACAGGCTCCGATGGCCAATGGCGCGCGGGGGGTGGGAGTCTTCCTGCAAAAGGGCCGGCAGGAGACGCGGGGCGGGGGGGGGCAATGAAGAAGCAACAGCAGCCGAGGGAGAAGAAGTATTAACTTTCTGCACTCACGTGACACCGGGTCATATGACATGTTAAAGCTGGTTGGGCGTTCCTACCTGTAGATAGATAGATGCACGTTTCGCGTATGAGGTTGATGGTTCTTCTCCCCGCACTTTGGATTATTTGATTTCAGTTCAGCTTCCCTTCAGAGTCACTTGTTGCTGAAGCAGCAGATCAACCCCAAGGATGGCAGGATCCACAAGATCCTGGTGTAGATCTTTATTCCCCCCCTTGTTCTTGATGGAGATCTTCTCATCCCCTCTTCCCTGGCGGGGGGGGGGGCGTTTTGTCGTTTGCCTCAGGGGCCAAAATGCCTACCTTGATAGGTTTGACCCTCCTGCCACAGGAGCCAGCTCCTAGGGGCCGAGGGATCTTCACCTCCCCCCATAAAATATTGTGAGGGGCTGCTGCCCCCCCAAAAAAGTTGCCATTCAAATGACGTGTGTGCACTGTATCATGTGATGCCGGGCCTCCCCAATATTCAAGTTGGAATCCCTGCCTCCTACTCTGCCTCCTGCTACTCCCCCCCCCCACTCCACCCCATCCACTGTACCAGCCTGCCTGGAGACAGTTTTTAATGTACTTGTTGCTGTGTTGTTTCCTGAAAGGAAGTGGTTTTGTTTGTGTATCAACAGATTTATCTTTCTAATACTGACTCAGACCTTTGGAACTTGGTTTCACAGAGATACCTGGTTTGCCTTTATGGAAAGCAGAATGCTGGGTTAAATGAATATTCTGGCTGTCCCTGTCCTGCTCCTATATGAACCTGCCTGACCTTAAAAATGGGCTATGGAAGCCCTGCTCTCTGTCCCATCAGGACCACCTTTGTGGAGGTGCTGGGGTCCAAAGGGGCTTCACCCACTGCATATGCTGTTAGTTGCTGGGTGTTTTAGAACTCTTGTCTTTGATGTTTTTAAAGTGCTAATACAATTATTCATGTTACTCATTTCAGCACCTGCTGAAAACATTTTTGTTTAGGCAAGCCTATCCAGCAATACAGAATGTAAACACATGTTTTAATCTGGTTTTTAGCTTATTGTTGATTTTAATTATTTTTAAATATTTTAAATATTTTCAACTGTTTTTTACTGATAATTTCATTGTTTCTCTGTTTTTGTAAACCACCTTCAGGTTTTAAAAACAAGCAGCAATTATTGTTTTTAATAAACAAATAATAATCATTTTAATTTTGCTTTTTATCTTGTATTATTTATATTTTTATTGGGATTTTAACTGATTTTATATCTACTGCTCTTTGTACTTTTAATGTTGCTATGATAATTGCTTTTGTTTCTGATGCATTTTTTGATCTGTTTTATATTTGTTTCATGGTTCTCTCTTGTAGGCTGTCTTGAAAATAATAAAATTTAATTTTTTGTTTTAGTGTAAATCCGTGTTTGTACATTTTGTGTTTTCACAGAAAAGCGGGATATAAATAATGAATTGGAAGTAACTAAGCTACTGGCTACTAATCAAACAGGCAGCTGTTCTTTAAAGGTTTTTCCCAGCCCTTAAAAAAAACACCAACTGTAGATGCCAAGGATTGATGCTGGGACTCGTCTGTAGGCAAATCATGTCCTCTGCCACTGAGCTAATATTACTAATGACTTAACTGTGAAAGTACTGTACAGCACAGCTCAATTGCCTCTGCTGGCAGTGCGCTTGTTTCTCTCTCTCATTCTAGAACGGGACTAGAGGTGCACATGTTTTTGGAAATTCTGACACAATATGGGAAAAACACCCCCCCCAAAAAAACCCCTTCAAGTTGAACTTTTTAGGAAACAGAAATATGTGTAGTCATTATTTTTATTGTCAGTTCTAAACCTATGCATTGTCTAACTTAGCACATCAAATTGAACTGTTCAGCTCTGTTTAAAAATGTAAGTGCCTTAATTCAACCAAACATTTCAAAATTGGGACAGATGCAGCACCTTGCAGCTCCATCGCTAATGTACCAAACACACCTCGGTTTTTGCCAGTTGGGGGGAAAGGGGAAAGAAAGATAGTTTAAAACAGACTCAATCAGCATTGTAATAAACAAGAGGGTGTTCTTAGTATTTGAGCTTAGAGGATGGTCTTGGAAGGGAATACAAGAACTGCTGTGGGTCCTTACTCTCTCATTTACAACAGTCTCCACAGTTAGCATTATCAGAAAATGTGGGAAGGAAACGTAACACCTTCTTGTGAAGTCATGATGACACTACACACTGGCTTCCTGTTTCTCAGGCTAAGCCATAATATATAGTTTAGGGATGGTAGTGCATGCTGCTGAATTGCTCCTGCTGCACTCCTCCCTTTTGTCAAGCAGGGAGCAATTGACCATAAGCCTTGGCTTAGCGTAAAGGTAAAATGGTAAAGGACCCCAGGACAGTCAAGTCCAGTCAAAGGCGACTGTGGGGTTGCGGCACTCATCTCGCTTTCAGGCTGAGGGAACCGGCGTTTATCCACAGACAGCTTTCCGGGTCATGTGGCCAGCATGACTAAACCACTTCTGGCGCAAGGAGACACCGTGACGGAAGCCAGAGCGCACGGAAACACCGTTTACCTTCCCGCGACAGTGGTACCTATTTATCTACTCACGCTGGCGTGCTTTCAAACTGCTAGGTTAGCAAAAGGTGGGACAGAGCAACGGGAGCTCACCCCGTTGCACGGATTCAAACCGCCGACCTTCCAATCAGCAAACCCAAGAGGCTCAGTGCCACAGCGCCTCCCACATCCCTTTGGTGCTTAGCATAAGGTACACCAGCACTCATGGTATGCTTCTCCCCAAACCCCCACAATGATAAGCCAAGGCTTGCCCTTGTCTTGCTGGTCATGGTTTGTTTGGGAGAAACAAACCATAAGCGCTAGTTTGCATGTTAACACTAAGCTAAGGCCTGTGGTTTGTTCCTCCCTGCTTAACGAAGAGGAGCAAAACAAGCAATTCAGCACGGTACACTCATCCTCTGTTCATCCCCGCTAAACTTTAGATTATGGTTTGGCATGTCATTCAGGCAGGGAAAATGTAAGCAAGAATTTCAAAAAGATTCCAACTCTTTTTTTTAAAAAAAAGAAAGGTTTGATGCATACAATAGACAACAATTATTATAATTACTGTATCACATGTCCTTACTGTATCTTTTACTGTTGATTGTCTTGTACAATTAGAAACTATTTTGAGAGAGAGAAATGCAGCTAACACAGTACTTTGCAACATTGCATTAATTTTTTTTACATTATTCTAAAAGAAAAATGGTTTGTAAGTTTTTTGTTTTGTTTTTTACATTTTTACTGGGAAAATTTAAACAACTAATTCTTTTCTCTCCCTCCTCCCCCACAATCTTTCTATCTCCCATTTACCCCTTCAGATCTGTATAATGGGACCAATACAATGGACACTTGTCATGAAAATTATCCTGAAAGGGGGTCTTCCAACTCAGCCCTCTGTCTTCTCTGGAGTGTCATACTGAGTTGTACAGGACATACTCCAAAACCAGTGTTTATGAATTCTTGGCCACAGACTTTTACTGATTCCCACATTTTTCACTGGGGATTGCCATCTCAATCTGCATTCCTCTACATGCTTACTTGGAGATAAACTCCATTAAACTCATTAGCTATGTTTGCATACCATGGAAAACTATTGTTAATGGTTTCTCACTTTGTCCCTCCCACAGCACACGCAGGAGCCACAAACTATAATCCCTAGTTTAGTGTTACCTCCAAACCAGGGACACTGGTTTGCTTCATTCCAAACAAAGCCATAATGTGAATACAATGTTACTCCCAGCTCTGGCTTGCTTGACTGAAGCAAACCAAAATCCCTGGTTCAAATGTAACCATAGAAATTATGATTTGTTATTTCTGCTCACACCAGGAGTGCAGTAATATAAGGAGCCACCTGGACCTTCAAAGTAAACCATTAACGGCAGTTTACAGTGCTCTACATACAATCTAGGCCACTGGGACGTAATTGAATAAATGTGCACAGGCTCAGGCAGTTAGCTGAATAATATTGCCTGGGTTGTGTCTCATTTTGCTAAGTGATTGTGATGTTCTTATTTTTATGAATACTGTGGGGAGAGCTGCCTTGGACTTCGTTGTAAAGGAAAACTGGGCTATAAATCATTCTCTCTAAACCCTTATGTAGGAGGGAAGCTCAGGCAGACTTGCAGTAAAAGCAGAGTCACTGAGAAACAAGAGGGATGGTTTTAGCATGGTTGGGAAAACCCCAAGTTTTGCAGATGTACAAAAAGAATATATATATATATATATATATATATATATATATATATATATATGAGAATGAATTAGAGGCAATACTGCCCCCAAAAGGACAGCCCAATGAGGGGACTTATCAAGCTCAGTAGCCTTGGAATGTTGAGTGTCACTTGAAAAAGAAAAATGAAAATGGAGTTGCAGAAGAGGAAATGTTTTAGATAACAGTATTCTGGAAGAGGATGTGACCAGCTTGCTAGAACCCTGAACCGGAGCTCTCCTGGTAAAAGGTGAAAATACACTCTAACATTTTGTTGTTGTTCCTACTTGCTCGGGATAAATAGTGCTCTCATAAACTACCTGGTGATAACATCCCCATTTTAAAGATAGGGTTACCGAGGCCAAAACCACTTCCTGTTGTGTCTCTGGCTGAGGCGGGGCTTGAATCCCACCACCCAAGTGACCAAACCCATTGTACAAGACACTCCAATACACTTCCCCCCACCCAAAAAAAGAGCTAGGTTTTTTATTTGTTTTAAGGTTTGCCTGGGAGAGAAGCTTGCAAGCTTTTGAGTTACACAGATACTTTAATCAGGCAGAATGGAAAAACAGCTAATTCCAGCCAGAGGGAGAAGTAGAGTGGAGAACAAAGCTTGTTAAAAATGCAAATCGTTTTATTGCCTGGGGGTGGGGCTTGCCATGAAGCTTTTCCTACATCAAACAGTTGCAAAAATCAAAGCGTGTTCAGAAATGGCAGTGCAGTGCAAATTTATTATGTTCCGTGGAAAAGGGGGGGGTCTTGGCCATTTGGAGATAGTCACAGGGTCCTTAGCCGTCTTATCCGATGTGTCAGAGATCTGATTCACATGTCACCAGCATGGTATCCAGGTTGCTTTCCCCATGCAGCTCTGGCGATGCAGGAATAAATGAAAGAATCCCAAGGGACAGGAAGATCATGTGAAGAATTCCCACACGAGTGCCAGGCCAGCACTTCGCATGTGACCTGTTGGTCTCGCATGACTCTGCTGTTCAAACAAAGTGTGTTGATCCTCCCACCAGGAAGCAACTGTCCTGCTAAACAGGAAACAAGAACCAAGCTTTTGTAGCATAGCCAAACACATAGTGCCACTTCCTTGAATTCCCAAGAAGCTGCAGAGAGGTGGCAAACCTGGGTTTCACCACATGGTCAGAGGCTATATGTGGTCACCATTTAGAGGCAATGTACAGAAAGCATTTAAGGGGCTCTGTGTAGCTTTTGGCACAATGGCCTTACATCTCAGGGAATAATAAAACTGTAGAGTTGAGAGGGACCCCAAGGGTCATCTAGTCCAACCCCCTACAATGCAGGATTCCTGTCTACGGCCATCCCTAGGTGGGCTCAAACCACCAACCTTCTGGCTAAGAGCCAGACACACTGACCCATTGCACCACCTGAGATCAGTCTGAAATCTCTCATGTTAGAAGAAGAGGAGGAGTTTGGATTTGATATCCCGCTTTATCACTACCCGAAGGAGTCTCAAAGTGGCTAACATTCTCCTTTCCCTTCCTCCCTCCTTTCCTTTCCCCTCCTTTCCCTTCCCTCCACAACAAACACTCTGTGAGGTGAGTGGGGCTGAGAGACTTCAAAGAAGTGTGACTGGCCCAAGGTCACCCAGCAGCTGCATGTGGAGGAGCAGAGACGCAAACCTGGTCCACCAGATTACGAGTCTACCGCTCTTAACCACTACACCACACTGGCTCTCAGATGTTAACCAGATGGCAGAAATGGGTAATGTTGAAGCCGGCTACATTTCCCCAGCTCCTTATTTGCATGAGAGTTTAAAACATCACCCAATGCCTTTTAAGAAAAGACAGTCTCCTGGAGCTGCAGGTGTATCATTTGGGGTGACCCAAAGCTTATGGTGGTATGCACACCCATAATGCTTTACATCTGTTAATGTCACCTGCAGTCATCATCACACATGGATTAGGCCAAGGGCCAATCCAGTCCAGCATCTGGTTGCCACAGGATGCAAGCACAAGAGTCCGCTCCCCTCCTGTAGTTTCCAGCAACTGATATTCAGAAGCTTCAGAAGTAATGCTTTTCTGCCTCTGAGCATGGAAGCAGAGCATTGCCACTGTGGCTTGTAGACATTGATAGCTGTACATGCTTCTTGAACTTGTCCGCTCTTTTAATAATTGGAGATTATTGTTGCTCTCATTTCAATGCTCTTCACTTCCCTGATTTCAAATACAATATAATGGTTACCTTAGTCTAAAGTATTGGTTGTGTTTAGAATAGGTTGATGGAAGATTTAGAAAACTTATTGATTAGAATATTTGTGTGAGATTGTATGGGGAAAATACAGAATAACAGATACAATCTTGCTTAAAATATATAGGATATAGGAAGTGCAGTGTAAGCGATGGAAGTCAATCAATGAAATTTTATTAATATTTTCATATTGAGGTATTTGTAGAATAAATTTGGAAGAAATTCTTCCTTCTTCTTTTCTCTCTCTATTTCTTCTTCTTTTTTCTTTTCTACTTTTTTCTCTTTTTTAAAAATATATGTGTGCTTATCTGAAATATATATGTATGTATGTATGTATGTATGTATTTGCAATATTTTGCTTATATTTTGCAATAATTATGTTAAATTAATAAATAAAAAAATGAAGAGGAAAAAATGGTTACCTTAATCCTTCCAGAATTCTTTTTATTGTGCACTCATGATGATTTGTGCTCATGGTGCTATTGGGGCAGTTACATGTCATCCTGCCTTCAATACTATTGTTTGTGCCGGCAAAGTTACGGAAGGGACATACTGATTCCTTTCCAATCCTCGTATGTCCCATAACTTCCTGCTGAAACCACGTAACTTTTCACGACAGGTGTGTGTAGTCAAGAGAGGACACCTGCACCCACGACGGCAAGTGTGAAATGTCTACTTTAGGGAGGCGAAAGGTGGCGGGGCTGTTTCCTATATGTTACCTAAGCAAGTCCCATTGAGTTCAGTGGGCGTTAGGCCCTTGCCGGTGCGTTTAGGAATGCAGCCTTGACTGCAGTTATTCCTGCAGGGCTGCATCATTGACAAAAGGCGGCTTCAGAAACACAATGCATTCCTGCACATCCAGGGCTGTAAATAGCACCGCCACCCGCCACACCCCTTCCAACTTGTTCCTTGGGTCTGGTTGGCTGTCCGCACAAAAGGGAGCAGGAAGCTTCTCTTGCGCCTTTATGATTGGGGCCCATTGCTGTGCGTGCATGAGTTGATGACTAATTCTGTATACAGTACATGGTGAAAAGGGAACGGGGTTGAGAGGACAAGACGGGGACTCCTGGGTCCCCCCCAAGCCAAGTGAGAGACAGATTCTTGGAGAGGAGGTGGGGCAGTGAGAGAAAACGAGCAAGCATCGTGGACTCCCAAATTAGGCTGGGAGACAGGTTAGCTCAAGGTCGGCAGGGGGCTCGGAGAGCCTGGATTCCCGGATCGTGAGAGCACAGCCAAGCCGTCTACTACCTGTTTGCCGGTCCCTCCCCTTATGAAACTGGTCGGGCCGCTTTCCCGGGTCTCTCTCACCTGGGCCACTCCTCCTTCCTGCCCGGGCCGCCTTCCCCGCTGTCCTTCCTCGCCCTCTTCCTCCCTCCATTTCCCCGGACGGGGTTTTGCCTGGAAGGGCACCGTCCCGGCTCCCCTCCTCTTCCTGCCCTCCCGGGTTGCCTCGCTGTGACTTGGGAGCTTTTGCGCCGTCCAAAATCTCCCACCCACCACCCCACACTTTTGCTTTTTTGCAGCGCCCTTCCCGATCCTGAAGCTCGCCCCGCTCCTCCCTCTTGGGAAGCAGCCCCGACGTGCCGCGCGGCCCCCCTGGACGACGGGCGCCGCCGATCCCCGGCCATCATGGGCTCCCCCTCGGGGCTGGGCCGCTGCCGGCTGGCCTTGGCCTTCGCGGTGCTCATGGACGCCGCGGGCACCGGGGCGCTGCTGACGGGCATCTTCGCGCGGCTGCGCCTTCGGGGCCGCGACTTCGGCGACCTGCTGATCTACTCGGGCGCCGTGCTGGTCTTCCTGAGCCTGCTGGGCTGGATCATGTGGTACACGGGCAACATCGAGATCGCCCCCGAAGAGCTGGCCAGGGACTACGGCGCCAAGGGCGGCACGCTGGCCCGCCTGGCCAGGAAGATCTCGAGGACGTGGTCCCGGCGCCAGGACACTCGGCTGGCCATGAGGACGGTGCAGAGCAGCCGGGAAGCCGCCTAGACGAGGTAATGCCCAGCCCTGCCCGTCCACCGCGTCTCCCGATGGACGGCTGCTGCCAGTCCGGGTCGGCAGTATTGGACTAGATAGACCGGTCCCGTGGTCCTGCTCGGGGTGTGTTGACGTTACTAGGCTCAGGGCGCAGTGGAGTTGTCGCCGTCGTTTTCAACGCCTTGCGTGGCTCTTTCCCGCCGTCCAACTGTTCACATCAGCGCTGCTTCATTAGTGTCAGATTCGCTTCTGTTTGTGTTCACACCAGGAGGCGTTGGCGGGGCGGGATGCTTTTGCACGATGCAAAGGGGTTGACAAATTGTCTAGAGAACCAGCTGGTGTGAAGGTGGCTTGAGAAGCGATCCATCAAAGAATACATGTGTAAACAGTTTGACAGCGGAACAGAGTCCCTTTGCAGGTAGTGGACTCTCCTTTCTTGGAGGTCTTAAGGCAGAGTTTGAATGGCCATCTGTCATGGATCCTTTAGTTGAAATCTCTGCATTGCCAGGGGTTGGACTAGATGATCCTCAGGCTCCCTTCCAACTCTACCATTCTATTATTTTCAGATTCTATTACAGTGGTACCTCGGGTTATATATGCTTCAGGTTACAGACGCTTCAGGTTACAGACTCTGCTAACCCAGAAATAGTACCTCGGGTTAAGAACTTTGCTTCAGGATAAGAACAGAAATCGTGTGGCGTCAGCGGGAGGCCCCATTAGCTAAAGTGATGCTTCAGGTTAAGTACAGTTTCAGGTTAAGAACGGACCTCTGGAACGGATTAAGTACTTAACCCGAGGTACCACTGTATTCTGTTTAAAAAACCAGCACTGGAAACCTAGTAAGTGTGAACCCAGCCTTCGTATAAATTACCTTCCTGTGTCCTGCTCTGATTTCCTTGGGCAAGTCTCTACAGCCACAAGAGCTGCAGACTTTCTAACCCACTGCCTTTAATAGCTTGTTTGACATCAGGTGGGCGATTATGTTTCGCTTTCATGCCGTGAAAATCTTCCCCTGCTGAATTCTGCACACCAGCTCGCTAATAAAAGGCGTTAGGAGTTATGTGTTTTTGAAGTTTTATTTTCCTGGCCATCTGGGTGATTTGGTTGAGGCAATGTCTGTCCCAATCTGTCATAATCCTTTCATATTGTGGGATGTGCATGCTTTAACCTGGACCAGTTGCTCCCTTGGCATCCTTTTGATCTACAATTAGCACGAAAGAGGTGGAGTTAAACCAGGCTTTCCCCCAAGGCATTTGTGACTGTGTGAGAATCGAACAGCAGCTACTCTGGGACAGATTGGATTTGTAGGGTGAGCAGCCACACTTTCCCTTGATGGGCTGCTTCTGCCAGCCCCAGCACCCCTCTGCTGCAGATCATTTAAAGCAAGGGTTCCCAAACCAACACAGATCACTGGAGGTCCACAAGCTTCATTCAGGTGGGCCGTGGTGTGTCTCTGAATTTGAAGCTAGAAGATGGCACATCCATTAAATATATTGATTTTTAATCATATCTTTATTGCTCCTTTTACTTTTTATTTCATTACCACTTTGATTCTATAGAATTCAAATTGCAGTACAATAGAATACATTATGTAAGAAATAAAAGATGCAATAAAACTACGATTAAAAAAATCATCCGGCCTCTAGTAACAGCAGGTTGCAAACGCTACAACAGGCAGAAACTCGTTTAGTGGTCTGCCGAGACTCTCAGCAAATTTCAAGTGATCCGTGGCAGGGAAAAGTTTGGGAACCACAGCCTTAATGGAAGGGGAGCCTTGTTGACCTGCAGCATCTTGTGAATGGGCTGTAGCTCAATGGCAGAGCAGATGCTTAGCATTATTACCTGTTCCCTTACGTTTCCCTGGAGATCTGAGAAAGAGCCCCAGTCACCCTTATCGACCAGCTGCAAGTGTGTGTGTTCTTTCACACTGAGCAGCAAACAAAAATTCAGCTAGCAAAACATTGCTCATCATCACTATCTCTCTGCCAGAAGAAGTTGCACCTGATGGATTTCTGCCTGCTATGCAGATTTTTTGGGATGTGACAACAGCTAAGATGACTTTTAAGAAGGACTGGACACATTCGTGGAAAACAGGTCTATTGGCCATGTTTGCTAAATGAATCATCCATGTTCAGAGGCAATATATACCAGAATCTGGAAGACACAGTGGGGGGAGGGGGGAGGCCATATGCCTTGCTGGGATCTTCCCCAAGGCAGCCTTGGAAACAGGGCACTTAGTTTAAACCAGGCACCCCCAAACTCTGCCCTCCAGATGTTTTGGGGCTACAACTCCCATCATCCCTAGCTAACAGGACCAGTGGTCAGGGATGATGGGAATTGTACTCCCAAAACATCTGGAGGGACGAGTTTGGGGATGCCTGGTCTAGACTCTAGAATCTTAAGAACTTGATTCAGCCGATAGTCAGCGCTTCAGCCCCCTTGCAGAGGGCTTTACAGGTGCTGTCCATCGTCTATGCCTGAAAACCCCTTTTGACCCTGCTGCTATGCCAATCTATCCCACACCTGACACCATAGACATGATACCGGGTGCAAGGCAGGAGGGGGTGACCTGGCCAAAATGGCCCAGGAGACCTAAATCAAGGATGGTCCAGGTGGAGCCTTGATCTAATCCGGCAGAGGCCAGCTTCTGTCCTTCCGCATCCTTTGCAGACCACAGCCCCGCTCTCTCTTCTGCCTCTTAGCTTCCCTTTTCACTTTTGTTCCTCTTTCAGTATCATCATTAAACTTTTAAGACAACATGGCCTGAAACCAGAGACAGCAGGTGTTGTTGGGTGTTGGTTTTTTTAATCTGGATGAAACAAGAGACAATTCTGACATTCACACACGCGCACACACGCACACACACCCATCCTGGCATCTCTGGCAGACTGCGAGGGTGACCACCTTCTATGCTGAACACAGCACCATTCCTGCTATATATGTGACAAGCTCAGTTTTGTTTTCCGTCTGTTTGAGAGGTGGGTGGGGTGGGGGTACATAAAAGTCTGCTCACTGGGTTGCATTCAGCTTGTCTTCAAGTTCTTCACAGCCCTGTTTCTTGAGCTTTCTAAACCTGCATCTCCCCACCCTCTGCTTTCCAAAGCCTGCTAATGTGGCTCAGTCAGTAGAGCAGAAGACTCTTAATCTCAGGCTTGTGGGTTCGAGCCCCACGTTAGGCAAGAGATTCCTGCGTTGCAGAGGGTTGGACTACCATTCTATGATTCTACTTCTATTTATGTAGTTTATTGCTATTGCACCCTTCCTTCAAGGGGCTCCCAGCGGCGTACGCAGCCTCCTCCCGCCCCCTCTGCCCAGCAAGCCATTTCTCGCTTTTTTCTTTGCCTACCAAGCGCCTGTACCCCTGCTGCCATTAAGATGGCCATATGTCCTGCTTTGCAGAAGCCTCTGCTTCAAACGGAAGCACTCATAGCGCAGTGGTAGAGCATCTGTCTTGCGCACAGAAGGTTCCAGGTTCAGTCTTTGGCGTATCTGCAAGTACGGCTGGAATTGTCTCCTCTCCAAAACTCTAGAAAGCCATTGGTCAGGATAGGCCAGTTGGCGGCATCCACACCAGCACTATTATACCACTTTGACAGTCACGGCTTCCCCCAGAGGATCCTGGGAACTGTAGTTTGTTAAGGTGGCCGAGAGCTATTAAGAGACCCCTGTCCCTCTCACAAAGCGACAATTCCCAGAGTGCGCTTGGAAGAAGAGGGGTTGATTGTTAAACCTCTCTGGGAATTGTATCTCTGCAAGGGGAACCCTAACGACTGTCAGCCCCTCTTTAACAAACTACACTTCCCAGGATTCTTTGGGGGAAGATTGGCTTGGGGATCAGCAGCACTACTGCCACATAAACATCCTCGCTGAGCATGGGAGGCATGAAGCCTTGCCACCATATTGTCCACCAACAAGTCACACGTCCTCTCTAGGGATTCAGACCGGAGGCAGCCTTACCTTAGGGGTGCTGGGGGTTGGGCTTTGTCTGCACATTTCCTACCACTAAGCTGTGGGCTTTGCTTCCTGAGGCAGCCTCGCAATGTCCGGGCGTCTAGGCTTGCCACCTGTTTTCCATTTTTTAGCAAGGCTTAAAAAAATCGTACTAAATTGTGAGCCTGCAGAGGTGCTAAAGGCCTCAGATGCCTTCCTGCCTGTCCCATCAACATCTGGAGCACATTGGGCAGCAATTTCAGGGAGCAGCCGCCTTGGCTCTGGAACCCTCTGATGCCCTTCTTTTGGCAGGCGATAGCATTTTTATTTAGACAGGCCTTTGGCCCACCAGCTGACTTGCAAATACGTTGAAAAACGGTTGTACCTGGTTGTTTTTAGTTCTGTTTTACTGGCCTTGTGGTGTTTCCTTTTAACTTTTGTGTTCTGTTGCATCTTACTGTGTTTGCATTTTTGTCATTGGCTGCCTTGAGCACCATTTGGTGCAAAGACAGGATACAAATTTAACAGCTACAAAACCTCATGCGAGTGCCAGGCGCTTCTCATCCTTGCCCGGGGCAGGGGACTCCGGCATGACACCGCCTGAATTTCATTTCCACCCTCTTAAGTGCCTCTCCCCTTCCCATTTGACTTGGGAGCTGTTGCCCCTATTTCCATTCCTGCTCCAACCCCCAGTTCTTCTTTTCTTGCAGGTGTCCTGCTTGCCATTAACTGGAGGATCTTCTGGCCCACTTGCGGGATGAATGAATGGACTCGCCAGGTTGGATGATGTTCTCCTGGGACTGGACCTGACCTTTGACCATATCCCAGGAAAGGGATATTAGACTCATCTCTTCGCCAGCTGCGCCCACCTTCATCCAGTAGTATCTGTGTGGGTTTTGCTTTACATACATTTCAACAATGCATTCCTCCCCCCAACCCCATCCCTAAGGTCTCCGTTCTTTTCTTTTTGCTGCAATGTGGGTGGGGGGCACCCCTTCTGAACCAGGGCCCATAACAAAGGCACAACAGACAGAAATTCTGGCTTTCTACTCAGTGGCAGGGCCATGGGCAAGAAAGTGGCCTCCTTTCTTCTTGTCTCAGAGCTTTTGAAGGCGCAAAGGCAGAAAAATGGGATCGAAAAGTATAGCTGGGATGGAAGGGAGGATTGTCCAAGGTGGCCAGGAACTGGGACTCCTGATTTCTCTCCCAGGGGACCAAGGATTCTAGGGGGGTTGGATCTAGATACCACAGCAATAAGCAGAGGCTGGGGAAACTAAACTCTTTTAATGATAATAAATATATATGTGCTATATGGGGTGGTTAAGCTGGTGGAGGCGCTGGGGGTGGTTCCCCAGGTGGCGGAGGTGGTGGCGGAGGTGGAGGTGCTGGGGGTGGTTCCCCAGATGGTGCCGGGGCTGGTTCCCCAGGTGGCGGAGGTGGAGGTGGTGGAGGCGCCGGGGGTGGTTCCCCAGATGCTGCTGGGGCTGGTGGCGGAGGTGGTGGAGGGGCCGGGGGTGGAGGTTCCCCGGCTGGCGCTGGCGGAGGTGCTGGAGGCGGTGCTGGCGGGGGTTCTGGGGGCGCCACCGGGGGCAGCGCCAGGGTTTCCGCTGGCTGCATTGGCCCTGGGCTCGGTTCCGGGGTGATTTCTGCACTCCACGGCGGCTCCTCCATACTTCCCATCCTCGCTTCTGTGCTCCAGCGCGGCTGTTCCACATAATTTCCTTGCATCCAGGGGTTCCTGTGATCTAGGGCGTCATCCACTTCGCTTTCTTCATCCAGGAGCTTGACCAGATAATCGGCCATTTCTCCCTCGCTCCGCGGCCTCTCCAGCTCTCTTTCCTTTACTTGGAACTCCTTAAACTTCCTGTGTGGGAGAGGAGCACATCAGAACGTGGGGAGGGAGGAAGGGAGAGGCGGACTTCCTATGGCATGCAGGAGTGGGTGCATGCATGTAGGGTTTTCTATGGGGTGAGCTCTGCTTCCCCTACCCCCCTGCCACAACATTCCCTCCTCTGCTGATAAATACACCTGGCTTCTATAATTCAAGTTGGCTGCTTCCCCCCTTATCTGGAGCATGAGATTCTTGATCTCAGGGAGAGGAGTGTTTGGGGACTGCTTCATTATCTATCGGTTCTTCTCACAGTGTTTTACCCTTTGAAAACAGCTCTAATGGGATGAGGGAGGTGGCTTTTGACTTGGCAATCAGCACAGGCCTGCTCCACAAAGGGGTGAATGAGAGATGATGATGCTTCACGACTGAGATACGGACCTGCACTTCCACAGCAGGCTGCTCCCTGAAATCACGTACTTCTGCATGTACCCTAGTTCTTTCTGACAGCGAGCCTTTCTAATAACTTTGGCTAAAATATGAGGCCACTGGTGGTATATTTCTGTCATGTTTCTGACAGCTCCGCTAACCCCACTGCCACACTGGGTCATGGATAAGGCCCAGGACCTTTCCCAGGAAAAAAAAGTAGCTACTTTAACAACAGTTGTGTTCCTAAGCATGCCAGGAACCCATGTGGAGTAGCATTACTGGTGAGTCAAGAGGGTCTCGGCCTAACCCGAGGAAGGCTGCACCGGTGGAGTTAAGGGATCTGCTTTTCTAGAGAGAAATCACAAAAGATGGTGAAGAGAAGGAGGAAAAAGGATATGTCCTCACTACAAATCTTCACTCATTTCTGGTTTGCTGGTTCTTTACTAGTTTAGAACAAATTACCATCAGTTGTATACAGCTAAGCCCAAATGGGGAGGGGAAAACAGGCCTTTAAAAGCCTGGGGGCCAAATTCCATTATGGGCAGACTTCTGGTGGCTGCAGGCTGGGGGGGGGCAGTGGCAAAACTTCGCAGAGAAACAGGTGAGATTATCACCTTTGTACAATAGGCACAGGGACTGAGGCACAACTTGGAAGCTGGCCCCTGAAGGGATCACCCCAGAGCCTGAATCATAGAGTTGGAATAGACCACAAGGGCCATCGAGTCCAACTCCCTGCCAAGCAGGAAACACCATCAGAGCACTCCTGACATATGGTTGTCAAGCCTCTGCTTAAAGACCTCCAAAGAAGGAGACTCCACCACACTCCTTGGCAGCAAATTCCACTGTCGAACAGCTCTTACTGTCAGGAAGTTCTTCCTAATGTTTAGGTGGAATCTTCTTTGAATGGGTCACATGGGGGAGGGGGCTTCACTACCATGACTTGCGGGGTGTGTGTGGGGAGGTGTGTCGTTCGTGGGGAGGTGTGTTGTTCATGTGGTGGGAAGCTGCAATATCGCAGGAGATCTTGCCGCCTTTTTGTGGGTTCAGAAGCTGAGGAAGAGACAACAAATGGTGGTCTCGAGGAGGAAACAGGCATGGCGAGGGGAGATGTGGAAAGGGAAACATTATGGGATGGAAACTGAGGCAAGGCACGGGGTGGTGGCAAATAGAGCAAGCAGGAAGGGGCATCCCCTGTCATGTTAAAAAATAATAATTAGGTACTTTGTTACAGGTGGGTATTGGAGGCGGGTATTGGAGTTAGTGGTGATTGGGAAGGTGAGATGAGGTTTGGCAGATCCAGGTTTCTGGGTTTCTTTCTCTTAAAGGGAGCTGGACCTCCTATGGGCTTAGACTAGAAGTACTATGGAACTCCCATATTATTGTGGAAAAGGGCAGTTCTTTTTGTTTTTTTAATATAATTTTTATTAGTTTTTTAAAACATATCATTTTCAACAGTAATTAAACATACTTTTACATCTTATTCAAATTTTTGACTTCCATCAATCCTGTCTGAAAATTTTCCAATCTAATCTCTCAATATGCATTTCTTATCTTCCCTATTATATTTCAAACTCATAACCAATATCAGGAAGAGGGCAGTTTTTAGTATAGGGGTGGGGAAACATCTGACTAGTGGCGGCTGGCGGACTCTGGACCTTTTAGGGCAACTAGGTGGGGCCTTCTGAAAGGGGTGGGGAAGGCAGCGTTTGAAATAACGCAAAACCAAGCAAACCTAAAAATGAAATAAAAAGAATATGGGACGCAACCAGGTCCTTCCGGCCTATAAACATTAGACTTTACATGCATGTGCTCAGCAAATCCAGTGTGCGGGTGTCTGCTAGGGTCGTGCAGGGAGAGAGTAATCCTTACTCTTTTACGATACACAGGCTGCGCCCACTGCATTCTCATCTGAACCACCTCTGCAGTTTCCAACTTTTTGTAATAGCATTTTAAATTTGCGGAAGTGCTTTATAATTTTTCACCCTCGCCTTGCAAAGCAGGCCACATTACAATTCTAGCAAAACATAAAGAATGATATTTTCACTTTTAACAAAGCCACAGGCTTGGGGGGGGCTGAGATCTTACCCAAATAAAAATAGTAAGTGCCATACATTTGAAAACAAGATATCAGGAGCAGTTGGAGCAGACCCCCACAGCCACCCTGTAATATCACTACCCTGAGAAAAGCATTTTAAAAAAACTGTTCTCAATCAAGCATTAACCCTTGAGAACTTTCACTCTCGTAAAAAAGGCAGAAGCATGATATTTCAAAAGGAGAACATAGGCACTCCAACCCCCCCCCCCCAATGTTCCATCCCCCAAATACAATGGTAATAAAGCTAAAGACTCACACTTTTCACACCAATGCTTTGCCATCTTGATCCCACGTACAAGCACCAAAGTTCCCTCGCTGATCAAATCAATCATAACAAAATAAAGCAGCTACAGCTGGCTGGGCTTTTAGCAAAACATCTAAAGGCTTGTCACATGGAGGACAGAGCAAGCTTGTTTTTTCCTGCTCCAGAGGGTAGGGCCAGAACCAATGGATTCAAATCACAAGAAAGGAGATTCCTGCTAAACATCAGGAAGTGCTTTCTGACGGTAAGAGCTGTTTGACAGTGGAACAGACTCACAAGAGAGGTGGTGGACTCTCCTTCCTTGGAGGTTTCTAAGCAGAGGTTGGGTGGCCATCTATCATGGATGCTTAAGCTGAGCTACCTGAACTTCAGGGGGCTGGACTAAATGGTACCATTGGGGTCCATTTAAAAAAATCCACCCTGAGAATTCACAAATGGCTGTCCTAACGCACCATGAGCAAATGCAATGGGCACGTTCTACAGGCACAAAGTATAACATTTTCTACAAAAGGGACACAGAACATTTGATTCCTGAGTATGCTAGAGGTGGGCTGGGTAAAGCAGTGGCATTTTTTAAAATCACAGGTTTTCACGTGCATTTCCCTTTCTGCACGTTGTTTCCATCCTTCTTCAATCCCCACCTGCTGGAAGGTACACAAAGAAGCCAAAACGGAGCCACCTACCAGCTGAAATAAAGACACATGCTGAGGATGGCCACGATGACAGAGATCCCGCCAAGGATCCCTGCGTTCCGGCGTTGTCTGGCAGCTGTCGGAGGGGGGAGAGGCAGATGTTAGTGATTTCCTCACCCAGAGGCTGAGATGTAATGGGTGATGTCATGTCTTGATCCAGGCTGAGTTAGAGGGCGCCCTAGGGCACAGACCCACCTAGTCCAGGATCCTGTTCTCGCAGTGGCCAACCAAATGCCCGCAGGAAGCCCACGAGAAGGACATGAGCACAACAGCCACTCTTTTCATTTGCAGTTCCCAGCAAACGGTATCATGGACATACCGCCTGCAATACTTGTAGCAAATCGCCATCATGGCTAGCGGTCACTGATCTCCTCCAGGATTGCTGCTAAAAATGCGCTTCTGAGGAAGGATACGTTCTGAAACATGCAGAGTGAGGCTGGGCAACCTTGGACGGGGGGGGGAGAGCAAATGTGGCCCTCAGGATTCTCCCCCCTCACTCATTCACCCTCCTTTGCACCCCCTCAGATGGTTTTGCTTGTCTGGGATGTGCCCTTGAACTCTAATTAAGCTTCTCGCTTGCCTGAATGGAGGATACAGAGTGTTGAAACTAGCAGTTAGGGGCTGATGATGATGATGATGATGATTTCTGTTTATATACTGCCCTTTATCAGAAGATCCCAGGGTGGTGTACAACATTACAAACACATTACAGAACATCAATGATCAAAACAGGAAACATAATGGCAGACAGTCTAATAGTAAAATAATCATCATAATAAACAAATCCTATTCCAAGCATCTGGAGTTCCCCCTTCTTTTCTCCAGGTGCGTGGGGCTTTTCCAGTTTTGTGGTTAGTTTTTTGCACAATACCCCACAGGCTACTTATCAAAATCTATATAATGCTTACTCAAGCAAAAAGACCTCTAAGTGGTTTACCTATACATGATGTTAGAACATCTTCTAGAGAGCTGGTTCCCAGGCTTCCCTGCCTCACGGACTGGACCACTTGAAATTTTTTGAGTGTCTTGGTGGAACACTTAATGGTTTTCTTTTCCCCCTGCCTGTCGCAACCATTGTGATGTGCTGTGTTAAATGCTGTATGGTTTTGACTTGTATTTTTACAGACAGGCTGCAGACCTCCTGAAAAAAAGGCCATGGAAACACAGGTGGTCCAGGTGCCACAGTTTGGGAATCCGTGTTCCAGGAAGATGCTCCCATCCCAAAACGATTGCAGCTGCTGTTATCGGCAGATGTTAAAACAAATGGGCACAGCTTGGGGGCACAGCCAGATATTCCCTCAGACATTCATTGTATCCACTTAGAACGAGGCTGTGTGCTCTGCAGTCAGTCCACTCCCGCCATTGGTATGTGAAGCCGTGTACATACAGCGTTGTAAGCCAGTAAAATGTACTCAGCCTGAATGAAAAGAGCTTTGCTGGCAGCAGTCCTAAGCAAACTGGACACCATGAGTCTTATTTTGAGTAAACATGGATAGGATTGTGCTGTTAGTTTTAGCTCGCCTGTGTGTCTCCCCAGAAAAATTAATAATAATTACAATTATAATAAAATATTTGTTAGCCGCTTGTTACCCAAAGGTCTCCATATGACATTATTATTATTATTATATGTTTTCATATCCCACCTTTCTTCCAAGATGGGATTCAAGGTGGCTTCAGACATTTAAAAACATCATGATGTAAAGAAAGTAATAATGACAAACTAGTAAAAAACAATAAACACATTTACACAGAAGCAGCCATTAAAATGCAATTTGCCCTGACAGTTGTCAGCATAATCTTCACTCTAGTTTTCAAAGGACTTACGACACTGTTAGAAACAAATAGATATATTACACCATAAAACAGAACAAAAAAACAACAACCCCTGTAACAGCCACTGTGGCTTTGGCAGCATACTAATAACAAACAATATAGTCTTAGTCTATCAAGAGCCTTGGGAGATGGCAAGATAAGTCTTTACCTCACATGTCATTGTAAAGATGTCAGTGAAGGCATCAGGTGGACCTTGCTAGGGAGCTCATTCCTCAGACAGGGAGCCACAGCTGAAAAGGCCCTCTCCCTTGTCACCACCCCCTGAGCCTCCCTCAGATGAGGGACCTGGAGAGGCACCTGAGATGTAGTTTTAAGGGTCCAAATAGGTTCATATTGGGGCAAGGAGTGTTGCAGAAGGCATTGGGATCCTGAGCCAGAAAGGGCTTTAAAGCTCAAAAACAGTTATCCCTGTCCCGATAAAAGTTGTAAATGGGCACTGGCCCAAGCTGACAGAAGGCATTCTGTCCCACTGAGGCCACCTGTTACCTCAAGTGAAAGCAGTGAGCCCAGGAGAACCCCCAAACCACAAATTGGCTCCTTCAGAAGGAGTGTGACCCCATCTAGAGCAATCTGCACACCACTCAACTGGTCATCACCTCAGTCTTGTCTGGATTAAGCTTCAGTGTATTGGCCCTCATCCAGTCCCTTATGGCAACCAAGCAAGGATTCAGCAGACTGAGCGCTCATATCAAGCACAACGTGGCACAGACATGTGTGAGGAAAGACATTTGTTTTTGTCATCCGTGATGTCTCAGGCGCTGTCCAACAGGTGCCTGAGACAAGAATTCTCTGCTTGCCAAGGGAAGGAGAATATTATTTATGCCACAGACTCACACTGGCTCAACAGTCTTTCTCTCTCCCCAGGACACCCTGGTTCTGCAAGAGGGGCTAATGCAAGAGCATTGCCAGCACCTCCATCAAATTCCAGTTCCCAAGGTCCTTTTGGGGCGGGGGCAGAGGGGAACCATGACAATTATACAGGAATGGTTTGTAGTACAGATGCTGCCCTTGTGATACAGGCCTTCCCTGAAAAGAGACATGTTCACTTTGAAGAAAAACGTGCAACCAATGTGCGGGAGTTGCCTTCACTTATGCTATATAAGCTAATTGCCACGAAACTGTGCTCATCCTTACCATCAACTGCATGGTAGTAGCAGGTGTGGTTATTATAACAGCATTTCTTCTGCTGGCACTGGTGAGGGTAGAAACTTTCTGCTTCGCCACCACATTTTTTCTGAAAGGAAGAGTCCTGTTGGCATGCTAGAAAAGAGACGGAGATTCGTTCAAGCAACCAGTTTTAAAGTTGCTTCTGTCCTGCCATCTCTCACAAATAAATGACCTACAGCTCCACCACACTGGTAAACTGGGACTCCCCCCATAATTCCCATGACAATAAATAAATAATAAATCTTCCCTGGAAGTTTTTAAGCAGAGGTTGGGTGGCCACCTGTCATGGATGATTCCTGCATTGCAGTGAGTTGGTCCTTTCGAACTCTACAATTCTATGATTCTACGAATGTCATGCACACCAAAAATGCACCCAAGTTCAGCATTCTATACACATGTTCACACAGTGTGGGCAAATCAGGATGAACGTTCAATAAATGAATCACCACAATAATAATATGTTAAATAATTTGCCAATTCCTTTCCTGACACCCAGAGTCAGCTGCCTGAGGTGATTGCCTCACTCTGTCTATTGAGAGGGCCAACCCTGCTGGATATGCAGAAAGAAGGCATTCAGCCTCCTCAGTCAGGAGTAGGGAATCTTTGGCCCCCCCATTGGCCCCAATAAGTACAGCCAGTGGGCAGGGATGATGGGAGTTGTAGTCCTCATATTTCATCATAGAAACATGAAGCTGCCAAGCAGGGCTTTTACAACCACACCACACAAAATTGGTATTGAATGTGAAATTTGAGTATCCTGAAAGCATCAGGCTTGGCTACAACTGGAACAAATTGATCGGTGCCAAGCTGATCAGGGGTCAGCAACCTTTTTCAGCCGTGGGCCGGTCCAGACCACGTGGTGGGCCGGACTATATTTTGAAGGAAAAAAGAAAATGAACAAATTCCTATGCCCCACAAATAACCCAGAGATGCATTTTAAATAAAAGCACACATTCTACTCATGTAAAAACACGCTGATTCCCGGACCGTCCGTGGGCTGGATTGAGAAGGCGATTGAGCCGCATCCGGCCCCCGGGCCTTAGGTTGCCAATCCCTGCTTTAGTTCTTAAGGCTGTGAAGGGAAGCTTCGGAAAGTGCGGGCAAGACAAAGGGGGGGGCATTGTAAGCCGGGGGGGAACACCTGTGGCTTTCCTGATGCTGTTGGACTCCAACTCCCATCAGTCCCTGCCAGTCTGGTCAATTGTCCAGGGGACGATGGGACACATTTGGAGGGACACAAATTCTTCAACCGCTTGCTTTTAAGTGTTGGACTTCTTGAGGCTGTGGTTCTTGTTGTTGCCTCAGGAGGGAGCCCCTTGATCTCTCTCTTTTTTGAGCGCAGCACTTCAGGGTTAGAAGAAAGGAAGGGAGATACAGGAGGAAGGGAAGGAAGAAGCACTTTTACTCACTGAGAGGCTTGAGGAAATTCCCACTAGTACCTGCTGGAAGAAAGAGGGCAAAATCAGAGTTTGAATGGAAGGCAACAGCAAACACAACCACCACCAATGACCCCACCACCACCACCTGCCAGATCCTCTTGCAACCTCCCACTTAGAAGCCTAAAACTTTGGCATGAAGCGGTACAGAAATTAACAAATGAATGGCAAAAGAAACTAGCATTGATCCCAGCCTGGGGGACTGAGGGAGGCGGGTTCCTCTACATACCTTCTAGGACCAGCACTAGACAAAGAAGAAAAGCCAGACCAGGCTGGCTCATATCTCATATCTCTCTCCTTTTGGGGACGCCAGTTCCATGTGGCAGGGGGTGGGCCTGAGCCATGAGGCTGCCTGCGACATGAACGGTGTCAGAATTGCAGAGAAGTGTCATAGAACCTGGGAGTTCTAGAGTATCCGTACACCTAGCAACCAGGAAGCCGGGGGTCTGGGATAGGAGGAGGCTCAAGAACCTGTCCGTTCGTTTTTCTAAAAACATCTGGTTGTCCACCGGGAGAACAAGATGCCGGGCTAGATGGTCCACTGGCCTGATCCTGCAGGCTCTTTTTGTGTTCCTATCCAGCCCTCCCAATAATAGAATCCTGAGGAAGAGCACACGAGAGCTCCCCTGAAATTGGGAAGATCTCGCCCACAATGGGCGCCATTGCTAGCGCCGCTTCTCTGCCAGTGGCGGAGGCAATAGGGTGGGCGAGGCAGGCAGCAGTGGCGAGGCAGGCAGGCACTTCCCATTTCGCCTCCAGCAGCAAAATGGAATGCGCCACCCTTGCTCACAGAGCTACAATTCCCAGCACCCTAAACAAGCTACAGTTCCCAGTATCCCTTGGGAGAAGTCAGGTGCTTTAAATGTACGGTGTGTGCACAGCCTTAGCGTAGTAGGTAATGCTGGGGCAGATGATCAAAAGTTTTGATTCACTTTAGGGTGCCCTATGTTCATAACATAGACGCGGGTGGCGCTGTGGGTAAAAGCCTCAGCGCCTAGGGCTTGCCGATCGAAAGGTCGGCGGTTCGAATCCCCGCGGCGGGGTGCGCTCCCGTTGCTCGGTCCCAACGCCTGCCAACCTAGCAGTTCGAAAGCACCCCCGGGTGCAAGTAGATAAATAGGGACCGCTTACTAGCGGGAAGGTAAACGGCGTTTCCGTGTGCTGCGCTGACTTGCCAGATGCAGCTTGTCACACTGGCCACGTGACCCGTAAGTGTCTGAGGACAGCGCTGGCTCCCGGCCTATAGAGTGAGATGAGCGCACAACCCTAGAGTCTGTCAAGACTGGCCCGTATGGGCAGGGGTACCTTTACCTTTATGTTCATAAAAGGAGCAAGAGGATAAAGCGAAGACATGAGGGCAAGGTGGGTTTTGAGGAGGGATTGAAAGAGAAAGGAGAGAAGCAGAACCACATACAGTGGTACCTTGGGTTAAAAACTTAATTTGTTCCGGAGGTCCATTCTTAACCTGAAACTGTTCTTAACCTGAAGCACCACTTTAGCTCATGGGGCCTCCTGCTGCCGCCGCACGATTTCTGTTCTCATCCTGAAGCAAAGTTCGTAACCCGAGGTACTAATTCTGGGTTAGCGGAGTCTGTAACCTGAAGAGTCTGTAACCCAAGGTACCACTGTATATGCTCAGGGAGTGAGTTCAATACACAAGGAAACAAGAGTGGAGAATGGGTGAGCTGTTTAAGGAAGCAGGAGACGTTTGCCCAGCAGAGGGCAGCAGAATTCAAGGAGCACAGCTCTGCCACTGAGCTGCAGCCATCCTCACTGCAAGCTCATCCAAAGGAAACAACCTTCTAGTACTTCACCAAAACATGCCACCACTCTGGAAAGTGGGAAGCGTTTTAGGGGACATCTGTTTGTGTTGAGCAGTGGGATGCAGGCAAGTACCTAGCAAGACAGCACCGATTCTGGAATGTGGCAATATCCTGCCCCCTGCCTCCCAAATAGTAAATTAGACCCTCCATCTAGTCAGCTGCAAAACCTAGATTTTTGTCTCCTTTCCTGGACATTATTCAAGTCTGTTCTTCTTTTACCTGGGCATGCAGTGTGTCCTTGCCCGCTGGTCCATGTAGCTCAGTATTGTTGACTCTGACTGGCAGCTGCTCTCCAGGGTGACAGGCGGGAGCTTTTCTCTGGAGGGGATGGGAGATGGATGTTGGGATCTTTTGCATGTGAAATGACCAGGTTTTATTGATTATGGGGCAAGGTCACTCAGTTAACTCCGGATCGACTCAAACTATGCCAGCCTCTGTGAGCTGCCTGGATGTGGATTCGCCAATAAGTGGTGCTCTGGAAGAGATGGCTGGGAGATCCTCCATTTTGAATCACCTTGATTGCCGCTGTAAATAAAAACGATTAAATCTGATTGCAAATAAAAAATGATTGTGCTGGCTACATACACCTTGACTTTTGCTGGCAAAAAGACCAGTTAAACTGCACTCATAAGTGGTTTGAAAACCAGCATTTTAAAACTTGATTAGCAGTTTGGCTTGTGTGTCGTTCCCCCGCAACCCGGTCTTTCTTGAAATGTGTCCTTTGATGCTTTCATTACTTTGTCCTGCTATCTTCAGTTACACACACACACACACACACACACACACACACACACACCCTCTCGCTCGTGGCTTTTCATCAACAGACAAGCCAATTGTTGCATTCATGGGCTGGGACTGAGGGGGAACCGTCCTTGCTCCCCACCCTAGCGGGAAGCCATCTTACAAATTCCCGGCCACTCGTGGCTCCACCGTTCCTGGCGCCCAGCAGCGTGGAAGGACAATCTAATCAAGGGTTATTAAATGCAGATACAACCCCCCCACCCAGGCTCAGGCTATAAAATGTGGAGCCTTCACGTTTATTGGGAACTGAGGTCATGGCTGCGCTGCCCCAGGGGAAATGATGGGAAACAGCGATTTCCTACCCTGCTGTTCTTTGCAGATGCTCTCCCACATCCTATCCTGAAATGCTCCAGTATCCCTTGCAACTCCCCGTGCCCCACATTTAAAAGCACGTGATTTCCCCCAAAGAATCCTAGGAAATGTAGTTTGTTCAGGGTGCTGTGGGTTGTAGCTCTGCGAGTGGGAAACTACAGTTCCCAGGATTCTTTGGGCAGGGGTCATGTGCTTTAAATGTATGGTGTGGATCTGCCCATGGTCCTGGAATTAGAATAGATGGAGTGGAGGTGGCATCAAGACTTGGGGCTCAGCCACACTTTTCTGCTTGTCCTGCGCCCAGAAATCAAGGAGGATCCAAGCGGTTTTGCATTTGCCCCACAGCTTTCCCTTGGAAAACTGCTGGTTTTCCTACCTAGGGGAAAGCTGCAGGGCAATTGGAGGTACAGATGAGCCCCACTCGCGGTGGGATTAGAGGTTACTTCAACCTCAGTACTTTCTTCTGCAACATGGAATTGCAGATACTTGTTGAGCAACTGAATGAGATTTAGGAAACTAAAAATGCTGCATCATTATAATGCTAACAGTTTAGCAAAAATGTTTTGTTTGGGGGGGGGAATAGTTAAGGAGGGAGGTTATATAATTAAGCATGGTGTGGAAAAAATGAATTGAGCCTTTGTCCTCTCCCAAAATTGAGGTCACTCAATGAAATTGAGGAACAGTAGACTCAGGAAGGGCAAAAACCAGTGCTTCTTCGCACAGTACATAATTAAATTAAGGAATCTGCAGTGGTGCCCCCTACTTTAGAAGACTCAGAAGGGGGATAGACAAATACCTTGAGAATAGACAGGTATGTCAGTGGTAATTCACCACGATAAATAAATGGAACTTCGATGTTCAACAATAGTATACCTGAAAAAGCAAGTTGCTGGAGGGAGGCAACAGCCGGGAAGGAATATTGCCCTTATGCCTTGCTTGTTGGCTTCCTGGAAGCATCTGATTGGCTACTGTGGGAAACAGAACTGGGGGTTTAGTCAGGGCTGGGGAACCTGTGGCCCTCCAGATGTTTTTGGATTCCAGCTTCCATCATCCCCGACCACTGGCAATGCTTCCTGGGGTTACTGACAGCTGGAGACCAACTTGTGCTGACCATTGCTTTGGCAAACGGCAACTTTATATTTACTTATTTGCTTTTGCACTCAATTTATGTATTTATTAGCTTTTGCCCTCTTTTAAACTGGCGCAGTCACAGGTTTTGGGCACTAGAGGTCGCCAACCCCTTTTTGGAGGAAAAAGATGAGCAGTTACAGTATTTCTAAAATTGAGATCCCTCAGTTTACCTGATGTTACCAGGCACCTCTCCCAGCCCCACATAGGCACCTCTCCCAGCCCCACATCTTTCTTAGATGCATAGAAATTTGGCAACGGCAGCGTCTCTCATTGGTAGGAGATAAACAACGACTTTAGGTTACTCTTGTGAAAGACAGAAGGGACCCTCCAGCCTGGCTGGGTGTTGTTTGTGGGCATAGTCTTCAACATATAAGGCCGCATTGACACAATACATTTCGATGCTGCTTCTTTAAACAGTCATGGCGTCCCCCAAAGGATTCTGGGAGCTGCAGTTCTTCAAAGGGCTCTGAGAGTTGTTGGAGGCCCCTATTCATTCCCTTTGCAGAGCTGCAATCCTTAAAGTGGAAGGATAATGGCCTACTCACTGTGGGAACCAAAGTGTTTGGCTGGTTGTTGCCTAGAGGGAAGGATCTCTGCAGAACACTCAGCAAAGAAGAAGCAATATAAAGAACTCCGACCTTTTCCATTGAGTTATGTAAGGGTTGCTCCACGTTGCCCTGAAAACCTCAAGCACCCTCCTCTGTTTTTCAGGGTAAGTAGTAGCTCCATTTCCTACAAAACTCTGAAAAAGCAATGCGTTTTAAGAGACTACCTCATGATCATTTCTTTGGGTAAGGCTTAAAAGAGAGAGAGAAAGGGCTCTCAGGAACAGGAAGGCCCACTTCTGCCTCAGTGGGGTTATACTGGTAATAAACACAACTTTTCCCACTTTCTGTCTGCCAGTGCAAAATATAGACAATTGGAATCAGACTTCCAGTGCAACAGTACACACTTCTACTCAGAAGTAAGACTCACTAAGTTTAATGGGGCTGCCTCCTAGACAAA